ACGAACTCACAGACTCACACACAAACTCACAAACTCACACACGAACTCAGACTCACACACGAACTCACAAACTCACACACGAACTCACACACGAACTCACACACGAACTCACAGACTCACACACGAACTCACAAACTCACACACGAACTCAGACTCACACACGAACTCACAGACTCACACACGAACTCACAAACTCACACACGAACTCACAGACTCACACAAGGACTTACAAACTCACACACGAACTCACAGACTCACACACGAACTCACAAACTCACACACGAACTCACAGACTCACACACGAACTCACAGACTCGCACACGAACTCAGACTGACACACGAACTCACAAACTCACACACGAACTCACAAACTCGCACACGAACTCACAGACTCGCACACGAACTCACAGACTCGCACACGAACTCACAAACTCACACACGAACTCATAAACTCGCACACGAACTCACAAACTCACACACGAACTCACAAACTCGCACACGAATTCACAGACTCGCACACGAACTCACAGACTCACACACGAACTCAAAAACTCACACACGAACTCACAAACTCACAAACTCACACACGAACTCACAGACTCACACACGAACTCACAAACTCACACACGAACTCACAAACTCACACACGAACTCACAAACTCACACACGAACTCACAGACTCGCACACGAACTCACAGACTCGCACACGAACTCACAAACTCACACACGAACTCGCAGACTCACACACGGACTCACAAACTCACACACAGAGACCCAAAGGCTCACTCGTAGGCTGCGTGGTCAACACCAAACCCAGTCGCCTTTGTCTCTCTTGTAGCCATGTTTACATCGCACCAGGTACTCATTTGAGGCTGAGTCGACCTAGGGGAGGCCAAGGACCGGTTCAGATAATCGTTGTGAGCGGGAATCAAATTCGGGTCAATTCCCGGGTTCGTATTGCAGCGCGCTAACCGGTACACTACCGCTCCTCACACTATTGCACGCACCCACGCGCACACACGCGCGCACACGCAGACACACACGCATACACACGCGCGTACACACACACGCGCACACACACACGCGCACATTCACACACACACACGCACACACACGCGCAGACACACACAGGCTTAAGGACACACGAGAAGACTCGTTGTGTAATCTCACTGTGCACAGATCGAGTCACCAGGTGCAGTTGCCATCATATAAAATGTGTGGAGTAATTACAGCACGTCGGAGGAGTGTCATCATCACAGCAGCATCAGCAGAATCATCAGAAACAGCAGAATCATAAAAAAAAACCCACGCCAATCGCGAAGAGCAATTCACTCGCCAAGCGAATGCTGCTGATTAGTATATCGCAGGTAGCGTCACTAGCAGCAGCAGCAACAGCAGCAGTAGCACGGGCTGGGCAACTCTGAGCCCATACACGGCAAGGAGAGTTCAGCATCGTCAGCAGCATCAGCATCATCAGTGGAAGCATCAATCCGCATCACCAGCACTCGCACGCAAGCAGCGCAGGCTGTTTGTCCTCTGTGTGACATTGCCACTACCTGCCTACGCGTGGGTGGGTGCGTGCGTGTGTGTGGGGAGCGGTGGCACAGTGGTTAGCGCACTGCGCTATGAACCTGGCTACCCGAATTCGGTGACGAATTTCTGAACCAATCCTGGGGGGCCTCCCCTAGGTCGACTCGGCCTTAAATGAGCATGTCCTGGTGCGGTGTGTAAAAGATCTGCAGAGGGGAGACAAAGGCGGCCGGGCGTGATCCTGGCCGGCCACCCACCCCCTCGTGTGCTGTGCCGGCCTTCATAGGTGCTGCTCGCTTACAGCACTTGGCCTGACAACCTGTGCAGGCTGGACGGGGAACTTTTGTGTGCGTGGGTCCTCTGCCTGACATTGCCTGCGCTGTGCGCGCATTGATCTCACCCCGGCGTCTGCTGTGACTCGGTTGTGATCATGTGACCTAACCGCAGTGGAATGTTCCAACCGCCTTGGCGAGGGAAGGGGTGTGGGAGGAGGTGTTGGTGGAGGAGAGGGAGGAGGAAGAGGTGAAAAGAAGGGGAATGAGGTGGGGAGGAGGAGGAGAGGGAGGAGGTGGAATAGGAAGAGGGGGAGAAGGGGGAGGCGGGGTAGAGAGTGGAGAAGGCGGAGGAGGATGATGAGGCTGATTGACAGGAGATGAAGGCTTGGCTTCTCGTGAGAACGTCATTCATGGATCTGGGAGGGATCTCAAGGAGGGTGCTGCTCCATCTGGACAATCCTCTTGTTGTGAATCTTCGTCGGAAAAAATCAAAGACAAATGACATTGTTGTGATTGACTAACATCAATCCATAGACTCACGCAGAGGCCCACCGACTCGCACAGACACCCATAGACTCACACAGAGACCCACAGACTCACACAGAGACCCACAGACTCGCACAGAGACCCACCGACTCGCACAGAGGCCCACCGACTCGCACAGAGGCCCACCGACTCGCACATACACCCATAGACTCACACAGAGACCCACAGACTCACACAGAGACCCACAGACTCACACAGAGACCCACCGACTCGCACAGAGGCCCACCGACTCGCACAGAGGCCCACCGACTCGCACAGAGACCCACCGACTCGCACAGAGACCCACCGACTCGCACAGAGGCCGGTGCACATGTACAATGCACGTGTGCTCTGTGTGGATGAGAGTGTTTACCCTGGTTTCCAACCACAAGGCTCCCAATAAGGGTCCCCCAATTAAGGCGCATGACCTATAAAGTGAGTTGATGAGGAGGAAAGAGACACGGTCCCTGTGGGAGGGAGGGAGGGATTGGAGGGATGGAGGGAGTGGAGGGAGGGTCTATTTCTGTGTCGATTTCTGCGGTCAAGTCACAGTGAGGGGACCACACACCCTGAATGTCAAGGGCAACCGAGACACAGGAATTACACGGCTTGGGGATAGAACTCACACGGGGAGAGGGGGGAATAGGGTGAGGGGATAGGATTAGGGGATAGGGTGAGAGATGTATGTCCATGTTGAACTTCTTTCGCGCCGTATGTAGTGAACTGCTAATCGGAGGTGTGGGGGAAGATCGGGGATAGGGTTATGGCATAGTATTGATATGGAGGACTTTATTAGAGTTGAATTTATGGGATCGGGATTATGGCTGACATTTATGATAACATTAAGATATACGGTTGTAATTTGTGTTCGGACTACATTGAGTGTTAGGGCTACATTGAGTGTTTGGGTTAGGGCTACATTGAGGGATAGGTCTCGTTTTGCCATCAGCTGTCGGTGGTGTCCCCTTGAATCCCCCCCAGTGTGCGTGCCACCTCCTCTAAGCACACAGCACACGCAGCACATGCAGCACGTGGCACGCAGCACGCGAGCGAACGAGAGGGAGTCTCTATTTTGTCTCTGCACACCGTGCCGATATAAAACCCACAGCAGCTGTGCCCTCTCTCCTGGAACCGCTAATAATACCGCTCGCAGCCATCATCCACATGGACATCAGCAGCAGCATCATTAGCTGCTGGCCGAGCGATCCTTGAGCCTTTCACGCAGCGATGAATTTCGCCGACGCTCGGCTACGTAGCGGATCGCGAGCGGCACAAAGCTTGCGGTGGCTTGTCGAGTGATCTGGCTACAAAACAACAACAACATGGAAGGAACGGGTGGCTCGCTCACAGGGGCTCATCATCACCACCACCACGATAATCTAGTACATTGGGTGTGTGTGACACTAATTAGCAACGCACATGTTCTTTGGACGTGACCGTCTGTCCGTACGAGCCAGCTAGAATTTTTAAAAATATAATATAGTAAAGTGCGGTGTCAACTTGTCATGCTGCACCGCCACTTGCGCGCAGTCTTTGCTCGCGCTCGCAGAGAGAGTGGCTCAGAGGCTCAAGGAGGAACCACAGACGACCCACGCTGCGACTCGGCGCTACCAACAATTGTCTAAGCTCTGCAGTCCCTTTAATATGTGAAGGTGTTCTCGGCCAATTAACGATGAGTCTTCACACGTGTGGGAGGAAACCAGCCCGGAGAGAAACCATGAGAGAACCCTCGCGCGCGAGGAGGCAACGCTTTATCCGCATATAGGTGGGGCAGGTGGAGTCCACGTTTCAAGTACTGCCTTCTGGCAAGTCAGGGTATGGACACCTCCTTGTCGCCCACGGGAGGGCAGTTTCACACCGTCTGTGTTTGTGATCCACCAACCCTCTCTGCTGCCTCCACAGCGCCGCGAGATCGTTACAGGCGTTGCTCTACCACTACTCCGACCGTGAACTTAAAGAGTTCGGTATTTGGGGAGAGGGTGGAGATATTCATGGGGGCATGGGGGATCTCCCCTCCCCCACCCCGTTGGGCCTGCCTACTCACGGGCAGCAGCAGGGAGATAAACAGGAAGAGCGTGGGAGCAGAGATAGGTGGTGACACTTCCTCAGCATGTGCATGTGTGGGAGAGTGAGTTAGTGTGTGAGTGGGTGAGTGAGTGAGTGAGTGGGTGAGTGAGTGGGTGAGTGAGTGAGTGAGTGGGTGAGTGAGTGGGTGTGTGCATGTGTGGGTGAGTGAGTGGGTGAGTGAGTGGGTGTGTGCGTGTGTGGGAGCCGTAGAGTAGCAGTTAGCGCACTGCGCAATTAACCCAGCGGTTCGATTCCCGCTCACGGCCAACACCAGTAACGATTATCTGAACCGCTCCTGGGACTTCCCTAGGTCGACTCGGCCGCAAATGACTACCTGGTGTGTAAATATCGCTACTGGGAAGACAAAGACGGTCGGGTGTGGTGTTGGCCACCCACCTCCTCGTGTGCCGTGCCGGCCTTCATAGGTGCTCGATAAACAGCACTTGCCCCAACAGTCTGTTCAGGGCTATACGGGGGATCTTTGTCTTTGTGTGAATCAAAACATGGCTCAAGTGAAATGACCGCTCCTCCTTCCCGTGTCTCCCCGTGTCCCTTCCTCCCGTGTCCGTCTCCCGTTGTCCGTGTCCCCGTGTCCGCGTGCAGGTGGACAAGTGTCTGTATGAGATGAAGCTGAGCGACGAGCGCCTGCGCGCCATCATGGAGCAGATGAAGCTAGAGATGGAGCGCGGCCTCGACAAGGAGGCGCGCTCACGCGCACCCGTCAAGATGCTGCCCACGTTCGTGCGCTCCACCCCCGACGGATCCGGTCTGTCTCCCGTATCTCCCCGTGTCTCCCCCGTGCCCCTATGTCTTCCTCATGTCTCCTCCATGCCCCCGTATCTCCCCCGTGTCCCGGTGTCTCCCCATGTCTCCCCATTTTCCCCATGTCTCCCTGTGTGTGCTCCTGTGTGTTTCCGCATGTCCCTGTGTCTCCTTGAGGCTTCCCCGTATTTCTGCGTGTCTCCCCTGTGCCCCGTGTCTCCCCCGTGTCTCCCCCCGTGTCTCCCTGTGTCTCCCCCATGCCCCCGTGTCTCCCCCCGTGTCTCCCCCATGCTCCCGTGTCTCCCCCCGTGTCTTTCCCCGTGTCTCCCTGTGTCTCCCCTATGCCCTCGTGTCTCCTCCCTTGTCTCCTCCCTTGTCTCCCCCCGTGTCTCCCCCCGTGTCTCCCCGCGTGTCTCCCCATGTTTCTCTGCCCGTGTAACTTCCTCTGTAATTCTCGGTCTGAGCGGGCCCTGGCGTGAGCCTCACAGCTTAACGGGGCCTCCTCACTTCAATGAAACGTCTGACGGCTGTGTCTCTGTCTCCCCCCCCCATGCTCTCCGCGGCCCCCCTCCATGCTCTCCGCGCCCCCCTACACCCCGGCATGTAGAGAAGGGAGACTTCCTGGCGCTGGATCTGGGCGGCTCGAGCTTCCGCATCCTGCGCGTGCGCGTCGAGACGCAGACGATCGACATGGAGGACGAGGTGTACGAGGTCCCCGACACCGTCATCCGGGGCACCGGTCCCCAGGTAGGCAGTGGAGGGGGGTGCACAGGGGCATTGGGGTACGGGGGCATGGGGCTAGGAGCTGCAGCCAAGCTGCTGGGACACAAGGTGGTTCAGTGCACCTGTGCATTGTCTCAGGGTCCTGAGACTCGGGGAGACTGGGTCTCAGGGTCCTGAGACTCGGGGAGACTGGGTCTCAGGTGACTGAGACTCGGGGAGACTGGGTCTCAGGGTACTGAGACTCGGGGAGACTGGGTCTCAGGTGACTGAGACTCGGGGAGACTGGGTCTCTGAGTCCTGAGACTCGGGGAGACTGGGTCTCAGGTGACTGAGACTCGGGGAGACTGGGTCTCAGGTGACTGAGACTCGGGGAGACTGGGTCTCAGGTGACTGAGACTCGGGGAGACTGGGTCTCTGGGTCCTGAGACTCGGGGAGACTGGGTCTCAGGTGACTGAGACTCGGGGAGACTGGGTCTCAGGGTACTGAGACTCGGGGAGACTGGGTCTCAGGTGACTGAGACTCGGGGAGACTGGGTCTCAGGTGACTGAGACTCGGGGAGACTGGGTCTCTGGGTCCTGAGACTCGGGGAGACTGGGTCTCAGGTGACTGAGACTCGGGGAGACTGGGTCTCAGGGTCCTGAGACTCGGGGAGACTGGGTCTCAGGGTCCTGAGACTCGGGGAGACTGGGTCTCAGGGTCCTGAGACTCGGGGAGACTGGGTCTCAGGGTCCTGAGACTCGGGGAGACTGGGTCTCAGGGTACTGAGACTCGGGGAGACTGGGTCTCAGGTGACTGAGACTCGGGGAGACTGGGTCTCAGGTGACTGAGACTCGGGGAGACTGGGTCTCAGGTGACTGAGACTCGGGGAGACTGGGTCTCAGGGTCCTGAGACTCGGGGAGACTGGGTCTCAGGTGACTGAGACTCGGGGAGACTGGGTCTCAGGGTACTGAGACTCGGGGAGACTGGGTCTCAGGTGACTGAGACTCGGGGAGACTGGGTCTCTGAGTCCTGAGACTCGGGGAGACTGGGTCTCAGGTGACTGAGACTCGGGGAGACTGGGTCTCAGGTGACTGAGACTCGGGGAGACTGGGTCTCAGGGTCCTGAGACTCGGGGAGACTGGGTCTCTGGGTCCTGAGACTCGGGGAGACTGGGTCTCAGGGTCCTGAGACTCGGGGAGACTGGGTCTCAGGGTCCTGAGACTCGGGGAGACTGGGTGTCAGGTGACTGAGACTCGGGGAGACTGGGTCTCAGGTGACTGAGACTCGGGGAGACTGGGTCTCAGGTGACTGAGACTCGGGGAGACTGGGTCTCAGGGTACTGAGACTCGGGGAGACTGGGTCTCAGGTGACTGAGACTCGGGGAGACTGGGTCTCAGGGTCCTGAGACTCGGGGAGACTGGGTCTCAGGTGACTGAGACTCGGGGAGACTGGGTCTCAGGTGACTGAGACTCGGGGAGACTGGGTCTCAGGTGACTGAGACTCGGGGAGACTGGGTCTCAGGTGACTGAGACTCGGGGAGACTGGGTCTCTGGGTCCTGAGACTCGGGGAGACTGGGTCTCAGGTGACTGAGACTCGGGGAGACTGGGTCTCAGGGTACTGAGACTCGGGGAGACTGGGTCTCAGGTGACTGAGACTCGGGGAGACTGGGTCTCAGGTGACTGAGACTCGGGGAGACTGGGTCTCAGGTGACTGAGACTCGGGGAAACTGGGTCTCTGGGTCCTGAGACTCGGGGAGACTGGGTCTCAGGTGACTGAGACTCGGGGAGACTGGGTCTCTGGGTCCTGAGACTCGGGGAGACTGGGTCTCAGGTGACTGAGACTCGGGGAGACTGGGTCTCTGGGTCCTGAGACTCGGGGAGACTGGGTGTCAGGTGACTGAGACTCGGGGAGACTGGGTCTCAGGTGACTGAGACTCGGGGAGACTGGGTCTCTGGGTCCTGAGACTCGGGGAGACTGGGTCTCAGGTGACTGAGACTCGGGGAGACTGGGTCTCAGGGTCCTGAGACTCGGGGAGACTGGGTCTCAGGTGACTGAGACTCGGGGAGACTTGGTCTCAGGTGACTGAGACGCGGGGAGACTGGGGCTCAGGTGACTGAGACTCGGGGGTCTCTGGGTCCTGAGATGAGATCTCTCCCAGTCTGTGGCCAGCACGGGTCTGGCTGTGGTATTGGCCACACCAGCCCTTCATGTGCTCTGTTGGCCCCAACAGAACTTGTTTGGGGGTGTGTCGCTGTGGGTGTGTCTGTGTTCCTTTTGGTCTCCGTGTTGATCTGTAATCTGCCATCTGGCAGATGTGGAATGGCACGAGTGAGCGGTGTCTGTGTCAGTGAGGGTGCCTAAGTTTGTGTTGCGTGTGCCTCCGTATGTGTGGGCCTTTGCCCGTGACCGTGACTCATGTCTCTCTCCAGGAAGGCACTCTCACTCCTCGCACTGCACACGCACGGGACACTTATAGCGGCTATCGGTGTCAGTGTGTGCATGTGATGGGCACACTGTGTGTACGTGGCTAGAGTGTCTGTGTGTGTGTGTATTTAGAGATTGCGTTTCCAGTAGGTTCTTCGCGTAGATTTATCGTTCAAGTCAGAATAGCTCCAGGGTAGCACGTGTGCGTTGCTGTGTGTGGTGTGTGTGTGTTGCCTGTGTGTGGTGTGTGGGTGGGTGCGTGTCCCTCTCTGTGGGGAGCGGCAGTGTAATAGTTTGCGCGCTGCGCTCACGACCAACACCAGTGACGATTATCTGAACCGATCCTGGGGCTCCCCTAGGTTGACTCAGCCTCAAATGAGTACCCGGTGCAGTGTGCAAACATCACCAGTGGGAAGACAAAGGGCGTGCTACCAGCCACACCTCCCTGCTTGTGTGTTCCGACCTTAGCCGGTGCTCAGCGTTTGCAAAGTTATTTCCTTGATAGTTTATTTAGTTAAAAATAGCATCAAATGGCAGTGTGTACGTGCGCGCGTGTCCACCTGTGCGTACGCCTCCACATGAGTGCGCTGGGATGTGTGCGTCTGTCCGTGCCCCCTCGTGTCGGAGCAGCAGCTGTCCGCAAAGCGTCCGTGTCATTGTTTGGGTCTTAGTGTTGAGTGCGTGCGTGGGGAGTGGTGGCGCAGCGGTTAGCGCTCTCCGCTACGAACCCCCGGCGAACTGAGTTCAATTCCCGCTCACGGCCACCAGCATCAGTGACGATTGTTTGAACCGGGCCTGGCCCTTTCCTAGGTCGATCAGCCTTAAATGACTCCCTGGTGCAGTGTGTAAAAATCGCTACTGGGGAGACAAAGGCGGCCGGGAGTGGCGCTGGCTACCCACTTCGTCGTTGTTCGTTCTGGCCTTAATAGGTACTCGCTAACACCCCTTGCCGCAAAAGTCTGTTAAGGCGACACGGGGATCTTTGTCTATGTGTGTTTGCGGGGCTTACGCGCGTGTGTGTGGGGGGGTTGTTTGTGTGTCGTTACAACCGAGTGTATGTGTGTAAGCGTCTTTTTCTCTTTCTACGTGATAAAACGTCCTCTTGTCTCCGTGTGTCCCCCGTCTCTCTCGTGCCTTTCCCGTGTCCCCCCCGTCTCTCTCGTGTCTTCTCGTGTGTCCCCTGTCTATCCCTCGTCTCCCTGTGTGCCCCTCCATGCCTCTGCCTCCCGTGTCCCCCCGGTGACCCTGTCAGCTGTTTGACCACGTGGCAGCGTGTCTGAGCTCATTCATGGAAAAGCTGAAGATTAAGGACAAGAAGCTCCCTCTGGGCTTCACCTTCTCGTTCCCCTGCCGCCACAACGTCAACGGCGAGGTGCCACCGCTACTACCACCACCGTCACCATCGTCACTCCTACCACCGCCACCACCCCTACCAACACCATTACCATCGCTATCACCAAACATCACCAACATCATTGTCATCATCATCACCACCACCACCATCGTAAGCATCATCACCACTCCTTCCACCATCACCACCTTCTACCACCATCATCGCCACCATTTTGTTCACTATCAACACCATCAACACGATCGCCACAATTCTCTCTACAAACCCCACCATCACCACAACTGTCCCTGCCACATTTCTACCACTTTTTGCATTGAGTGTGTCTACCAAACTCTAACCATGTGTGTTCCCATGTGTCCCTGTGTCTCCCCACGTGTGTCTGTGTCTTCCAATGTGCCGCTGCATTGTCTGTGTCTTCCCGAATGTCTCTATCCCCATGTGCACCCCGCGCCTCTGTCCCCGCGTCTCTATCCCTACGCGTCCCCGTGTCTCTTTCCCCGTGTCGCTTTCCCCGTCTGTGCTACCCACGTCTCCGTCCCTGCATCTCCGTCCCTGCGTCTCTGTCCCTGTGTGCCCTTACGCATGTGCTGTTCAGAGCGTGCTCCTGCGCTGGACAAAGCGGTTCCACGTGAGCGGAGTGGAGGGGCAGAACGTGGTGAAGATGCTGCGCGATGCCATCCAGCGCCGCGGGGTACAGCAGCACAACAGCCACCGTTTGCCACTAAATGGCGGTGACATCACCACGGCACTTGTGCTAAGCTAGGTGCACTCTGAGGCCACATGAAGTGTCAAAGGCTCGCTGACGTACAGAGATGACTGGCGGATGCTTCAGCTGTGCCCCCTACTGTGCCAACTCCGCTTCGTGTTAGCCGCCCGATACTCCGCTCTTTGTTGTGAGCGTCGCTCCTCTCCCCTCTGCTGTTGCTGGAGGGTGACTGCCTCCAACTGTCCAGTAGCGTCCTTCACAAGCCTCCTCCACAGAGGCCAATCTTGATGCCACTGGTACCAGTCTTCAGCAAGTCCAATCAGCTCCACATCCTCCTGTGTGTACTATGTATACTGTGTATGTGTACCATATGTGTACCTTGTGTGTGTACCCTGTGTGTGTACCAGGTGTCCCGTGTGTGTGTACCCTGTGTGTGTGTACCATGTGCACCGTCTGCGTGTACCATACATGTACCATGTGTACCATGTGTACCGTGTGCGTACCGTGTGTGTGTGTGTCTACTCTGTGTACTATATGTGTACCATGTGTGTGTGTATCCTGTGTGTATACCATGTGTACTATATGTGTACTGTATGTGTACCGTGTGTGCACCTTGTGTGTACAATGTGTACTGTTTGTGTGTACTGTGTGTGTACCCTGTGTGTATACCATGTGTACTGTACTTGTACTGTGTGTGTACCGTATGTGTACCATGTTTACTGTGTGCGTGTACCGTGTGTGTTGTGCACGCGCCGCAGGATTTTGAGATCGACATTGTGGCAGTGGTGAACGACACGGTGGGCACCATGATGACGTGCGGCTACGACGACCACCGCTGTGAGATCGGCCTCATCGTGGGTGAGCGCTCCGCACACTCCTACGCGCTCCAATAAGCTCTTAAATAGGGTTTCAGCAACAAAAAAGAACACCACTTTCCCGACATACGCACAAGTCACAGTAAAATAAATGAAAAATATACACTAACAGATAAGCGAAAATTTTTTTTATAGCAAATCATAATCGCAATAAGAAAAAACAAGTTAAATATCGATTATTATAAATAGCACGCTTTATCTCGAAGAAATACGAATTTAAATCTGCTATATTAATTGCAATGCAGATATGGCCTAAAACACGATAGCGTTATGGTGAGGAATAAAAAAACACTGCGTCCAAAAAAAAGTTGTCTAAACAATTCCAGGCCATTCATATTTGTAACTCGTCCAACTCTTTATACATTGGTAGCTAGGCACGAATTCAGATGAAAGTAGCGATTTAAAGTGAGTGATCGATGGCAATGACTATAGACCAAGTTTTGTGGCGATATTTTTCCACAGACCAGGGGCAGCCATCATAAATGCTCGTTCACCAAAACTTGCTTTGTGTCTGGGAACGTTCAACAGAAGGGGTGATGAACTGCTCAGGGTGAGGTCTGCCCTCCCGTTGTGTCAAGAAATGACATAAATATTCTGCTGAATTACCACAAAGGATATTGTAAATGAACAACGCCTGGTTAATTGTTCTGCGATCATGGAGTGATATTAATTCATTTTTGTTGTACAAGTCACAATGATGGGTCTTATAAGAGGCATCCAGAGAAAATCTCCGAGTTGGAATGATGAGTGGGAATGAGCTTATTCAGTGTTGTATCGGAGGCAGATTGATACGCACCGTCCCAGTTGGTAGCCCTTACCAATTCCAACCGAAACTTAGCTGGTAATTATTAATGTTTATGTCTGTAGCGAAAGCTAGTTTAAAAATTAGCATTTCTCCCAGTCCATTCAATGTGATCCTGGAAAATGAGTATAGAGTCTATGATGACCCCAAGGTAATTTATTTGGATTTATTGCCATTCAGAATCAGCTTAAGTGCGATTAGTTGATGTTGAATTGTATTCAAATCGCTTTGTAATTTGCTGCACACATCTTCAGTGGAGTGGCCAGCAACCATCAAAACAATCTTGATTTGAAGCTTTCGTGACTGCAGGAAGCCATACTCTCTGGTTCTTTCGGTAAAGTCATCAGGTGAGAAATAATTATCTGCTGTTGTGGCTTTATATATGCACGGGGGGGGGGGGGGGGTTGTAGAGTCGTGGCTGCAGGAGTTCACGGGGGGGGAGAGGGGGGAGGGTTTGTGGCGTGCAGGGATGGGTGGGGGCTGGAGAAATTAGCATGTCAATGAGCTTGAATTAGTGAACGAAAACAGCACAGGTGTAAGAGTGAGAATCATAGCAGTTAAAATGTGATGTAGTTTTTCACGTCCTTCCACTGATTGCTCAATCTGAATCCATCTTTTCGATTAAAGTTTTGTCTGTGTTTGTATATCTGGATGGCTTCATGAACAAATCTCTGATGGTAGCCCGAGGACTCACGAGACTCGAAATGCTCACCAGGCTCAGTGATACAACACTGCTGCTGCTGCTACCACAGCTACTGTGGCTGTGAGTGCCGCCGATGGGACTGACACAGTTGGTTCTGCCTCTGCTGCAGGCACGGGCAGCAACTGCTGCTACATGGAGGACCTTCGCAACATCGAGCAGGTGGAGGGGGACGAGGGCCGCATGTGCATCAACATGGAGTGGGGTGCCTTCGGGGACGACGGCTCCCTAGACGACATCCGCACTGAGTACGACCTGGAGGTGGATGCCGGGTCGCTCAACCCCGGGCAGCAGATGTGAGCTCATGCACGCACATGCACATGCACGGGCATGCACGCACATGCATACGCACGACAACACCAACCAACATTTGCCATTAAGTGGCAGTGGAGTCACCACAGCTCCTGTACCAGGCTAGGTGCACTCTGAAGTTATGAAGTGTGGAGTTCTCTCGCTGCTGGCAGGTCACAGGACATACCCAGGTCCTGCGAGTTAATTGACCCAGATGAAGAACAGAAACACACAGACAAGTGTGTAGATACACACGGGTAAACGCGTGGTTATACAAACACACACAGGTACACACCCACACGGGAACACAACAACAACAGCTATTCACTACTAAGTGGCGGTGATGTCACTACTGGCAGGTCACGGAACAGACCCAGGTGCCATGGGTTGACTGACTGAGATGACTGGCATATGCACCACCTGTGCCCCCCTCCATGAACACACAAATACAAAAGACAAAGATCCCCCATTTAGCCTTAACAGACTGTAGGGGCAAGTGCTGTTAGCGAGCACCTATGAAGGCCGTTACGGCACACGAGGGGGTGGGTGGCCAACACCACGCCCGGCCGCCTTGGTCTCCCTAGTGACGGTGTTTACACATCATTTGAGGCTGAGTCGACCTAGGGGAGGCCCGGGACCGGTTCAGATAATCGTCACTGGTGTTGGCCGTGAGCGGGAATCGAACCCGGGTCGCCAGGTTCATAGCGCAGCGCGCTAACCGCTACACTATGGATCATAGATCCGTCCAGCAGTCGACGCTTTTTCCAGCATTACGACTCATGAAACAGAAGTAAACCACTTGGACATTCAATACACTACAAAGCTGAGTATTTAATAGATCGAAGCAACAACTAGTCATAATCACGTCAACTCTGCATCATTATTCTTCTACAGTATACGTGAAAAACACGCGACCGACCAACGCAACCGTACGAACCTATATATATGATGAAGACAAATATGAATGTCTAGGTGTATAAAATCAGCCAACGTGTGCACCCTCTAAAATGCACTCATGCAATACGTAACAATATGTGCCGACGTATATGTGTAGCACTCCTTAACAGATATATCAAAAACCAAGAGAAAATTATGCAAACTCTATAATATAGCGTTAGCCTTAACTAAAAATAGGAACGCACTGGCATTAGAACAGAAAGTTTACTTTCCAAGAACTTAACAATATACGGAATATATTGGAAAAACCAGACGGTCCTCTGCTAGTCTGGAAAAACAAAGTCTGTGCACCTCACAACAGACCAAACAATATATCAAGAAACAATAATTCTACCAGTAATATATCAGAACAATGATCATTTTACCAGTGGGTTCTCTTCGTGAGGTAACCCCTGGGAGCCATTCCCTTCGCACAGACTGACTTGATAACATTGAGTTCAATATTAAATAGCAATTCCGATCTTGAAATCACGCGCCTCCTCGTAAATATTAATTACTGTGAATGCAACCAACCAGAGCCTGAGAATGAATGCCTCCCTCCCTGGACCATAACTCTGCCGATAGGAATAAAGGCCCTGTTTGAATGAGTTCACCATTCGTGTCATGTAAAAGAGAGCAACTTATAGACACGTGTGATGAACAATTATAAATCGAATATTAATTATGTTTCTATTATCATGAAGGGGTACACGCCCAACATCTTGTTCTGCCCATGTGGCATAGAGCGTTGCCCCCCCCCCCCCCCACTTCTCCGGGCCCTCCGGTTTTCCTCTCCACATGCGTGGAAGTGGCCAAACATCACAGCGTAAGACCCCAGAGCTCGGGAAATAGTTAGTGGCACCGGTTCTGGTTGCCTACCCATGCCTCGAAATCCCTCGTGTGTCACGGATCCCAACTTGTGGCTGATGTTGTGGTGGTTGTTTTGGTTGTGGTGGCGGTTGCAGCTTTGAGAAGATGATCAGCGGGCTGTACCTGGGGGAGCTGGTGCGCCTCATCCTCGTTAAGATGACCACGCAGGCGCTGCTCTTCAATGGCAAAGCGACGCCAGAGTTGCTGACGCGTGGCCACTTCCAGACGCAGTTTATCACCGCCATTGACACGTACGTATACACACACACGCACGTCCACACACACACACACGCATATACACACACGTACACACACAGCAACAACCGCCATTCGCCACTTAGTGGCGGTGACGTCACCACGACGCTTGTGCCAGGCCATGTGCACCTTGAGGCCACGTGAAGTGTCGAACGCCCGCTGGCAGGTCACGGGGCAGACCCAGGTGCCACGGGTCGAGTGACTGAGAAGACTGGCTGATGCACCACCTGTGCCCCCTACTGTACCAACTTGGTGTGCTTTAGCCACCCAGCGCTCCGCTCGTTGTTGTGAGCGTCACTCCTCCGCCCTCCGTTGTTGTTGTTGGAGGGCGACTGCCACCGTTTGCCACTAAATGGCGGTGACATCACCACGGCACTTGTGCCAAGCTAGGTGCACTCTGAGGCCACATGAAGTGTCAAAGGCTCGCTGACGTACAGAGATGACTGGCGGATGCTTCAGCTGTGCCCCCTACTGTGCCAACTCCGCTTCGTGTTAGCCGCCCGGCACTCCGCTCTTCGTTGTGAGCGTCGCTCCTCTACCCTCTGCTGTTGCTGGAGGGTGACCGCCTCCAACTGTCCAGCAGCATATTTCACGAGCCTCCTCCACAAAGGCTGATTTTTACTCCACTGGTACCAGTCATCAGAAAGTCCACTCAGCTCCCCATCCTCCTGTACCACTTCACTCCATATCTTCTCTAGCCCGTGCCGCGCCCGTTTAGCCCCCTTTATCCGGCCGAACAAAAGCTGTTTAGGCATGCGGTGACTGGGCATGCGGGCTACATGACCCAGCCAACGCAGCCTTGCCTGCCGGAAGAGCTCACCGATGGGACTTTGCCCAGATCTTTAAAGGATTTGTGAGCTCCTCACACAATCCAGCCTGGTTAAACCCAGGATTGATTGTAGGCAGGCCAGCCTAAATGTTTCTAACCGGCGAAGATGTTCCATTAGGGGGGGTCCACATTTCACAAGCATAGAGAAGAGAGGGAATGACTGTGGCCAAGAAGGCTTGAAGCTTCGTGTGGAGTGACAGACCAGGTAGCTTCCACACAACGTTACGCAACCGATGAAAAGATAATGCCGCTCGACTGATTCTGAGTGAGACCTCTGCTGTCAAACTGGAGCCGGTCATGAGCACATTGCCCAGGTATGGGAAACTCTCCACTCTCTCCACAACTGCCCCATCACCGATTGGGAGTTGTGGGGGTGGAGTGCCCGATGGTACAAAATTCCCAGGCAGGTGCTTAGTTTTGGTGGGGCTGATGGTAAGGCCCCACCTCTTAGTGGCACGCTCCAGTTTCAGCAGCAGCACCTCCGACTGAGCAGCAATTACCAGGTCATCGGCATACATAACGTGATTGACCAATAGGGAGCCATCCCTTGACCACACCCGGGCATCGATCAGCCTTCCATTGTATCTGTACCAGATGGAAATCCCTCTGGTACAGCCAATAAAGGCTTCACGAACTACGTGGTCGAAAAAGATGTTAAATAATGTGGGAGCCAGAGGACATCCCTGTCGCACCCAAGGTGAACAGGGAATGGCTCCGACTCCCAGCCACATAGTTTTACCCGGGCCCGCTCACCATCATGAAGGTCCTTAATGATTGTGAGCAGAGAGTCAGGGACTCCGAAAGCGTGAAGAACAACCCAGAGCCCAGGCCTACTAATAGTATCATAGGCCTTGACCAAGTCAATAAAGCAGAGATGTAGGTCTTGTTGGAATTCCCTACACCTCTGCTGTGCAGGACCGCCCTGGCCTGGAACCACAATGGGGCTCCTCAAGACTCTCATCAGCGTGCCTGGCAAGGGGATGTTGAATAATCCTTGCCAGGACCTTTTCCGGCACACAGAGAGACACACAAAGACATGTGCATCCACACCACATGCATGCGCGTACACACAACACAGACACACACATAGACACACACACGCGTGTCCACACCACATGCACGTGCTTACGAATGCACGCACGCATACACATGTTTATAATCACATGCACACACACAAAAAAAGACAAACATCCTCCATTTAGCATTAACAGACTGTAGGGACAAGTGCTGTTAGCCAGCACCTATGAAGGCCGGCACGGCACATGAGGGGGTGGGTGGCCAACACCACGCGGGGCAGCTTTTGTCTCCCTAGTAGCAATGTTTTACACACAGCACCAGGTACTCAATTGAGGCTAAGTCGACCTTGGGGAGGCCCAGGACAGATTTAGATAATAGTCACTGATGTTGGCCGTGAGCGGGAATCGAACTCAGGTCGCCGAGGTTCGTAGCGCAGCATGCTAACCGCGACACTACCGCTCCCCACTACATAGACACATGCTTACACACACACTTACGTATACGCACACACACACACGTGTACACGTGTACACACGCACACGTGTACACACGCGTACACAGACAAACGCGTGCCGGCCTTCATAGGCGCTGCTCACTAACAGCTCCTACAGTCTGTGTGAGGCTGCATGGGGGATCTTTTTTTTTTGTGAGTTACAGCTAGGAGGGGGCAGCGAAACCGTGCAAGGTGTTGACGTACCCGTGCGTGCGTGCAGGCTTAGCAAGAGGTGTTGACATACTTATGCAGAAGTAGAGGAGAGGTATGCGCAGTGCGTGCTGTTAAGCGGGTGCAACTGAGGTCAAACAGGTGTGTGCATTGCACCATGAGGTTTGCACCGACAAACCGCCAGTAATTAAGGGGAGAAGCGGGTGCAACCGAGGTCGAACAGGTGGGTACGCTCTGACCGGAGTACGGGAGATGGGGGGTGATGATAAGGGATTAATGGGGCGGCAGCTTAAGGGGGAACACGTGAGGGCTCGGAATGAGGAGGGATATATAAAAGGAGTGTGCATAAGCGTAGAGAGTGTCCCGGGAACCAAGAGTGAAGACATCTCGCCGCTGCCGCTCAAGCCGTCAGCGGAACCTCAACCCTCACGCCGTCGCCGGGCGGACATTGGCTGAACCCCCGCCCGGGACAGACGGGTGCGCGGGTATGAGGGAGCGTAGGTGAGGGCAGCCAGAGGTGTTGACGTATCCGTGCGTGCATCCCCACGTGTGCAGGCGCAACAAGGAGGGTGTGCTGAAGGCGCGGGAGCTGCTCTCGGACCACTTTTCGCTGCACCCGTCAGAGGAGGACTGCGCAGCGCTGCAGCAGATCTGCGCCATCGTGAGCACGCGCTCCGCCTACCTGGTGGCGGCCGCGCTCGGCGCTGTCGTTTCGCGCCTGCGCCTCAATAAGGCTGTGAAGAAGCTGCAGACGACGGTCGGCGTGGACGGCACCGTCTACAAGACGCACCCCCAGTGAGCGGGGCGATCTCGTGCGATCCCGATGGGGCGACCTTACACGACCTCGACAGGATGATCTCGTGTGACCCTGACAGGGTGACCTAACGTGACCCCGACGGGGTGGCCTGACATGACCCCGTGGGGCATTGTCACTTAACTTAGTTACACATTTACACAGCAGTTCCCGTTTCTATCGCGCGCCTCTGCAGATGCGGCTGCATTACAGACGCTTCACAATAACACTAAACGGTGAGAGACTAAAACTGTGCATGCGGTTCTTTATCTTCGTCAACATCACCGTCATCACCATCCTTATCACTGCTACAACCTCACTCCTCTCCTCTTGCCTCCTGTTCTTGCCTCCTCTTCTTCTCTCCCGTCTCCTCCTCTTGTCTAACCTCCTCTCCCCTCCTCCCCCGCTCCCCGCACAGGTACAGCAAGCGTCTGCAGCTGATGATGCGCCGCCTGGCCCCGGAGAGCCGCGTGCAGTTCCTGCTGTCTGAGTGCGGCAGCAGCAAAGGCTCGGCGATGGTGACGGCCGTGGCGTACCGCCTGGCCGAGCAGCGCAAGCTCATCGACGCTACGCTGGCGCCGCTCAAGCTGTCGCTCACGCAGCTGCTGGACGTGAAGCGGCGCATGCGGCAGGAGATGGACCGGGGACTGGCGCGCGACTCGCACGCCACGGCTAGCGTCAAGATGCTGCCCTCCTATGTGCGCTCCACGCCCGACGGCAGCGGTGAGGCGACACTACGGAGCCCGCGGCGGCAGTGGCGGTAGAGGTAGTGGTGGCAGTGGTGGTAGTGGTTGTAGTGGTGGTGGTGGTGGTGGCGGTGGCAGTAGTGACATTGGTAGTGGCGGTGGCGAAGGTGGTAGTGGTGGTGGTAGTGGAGGCCGTAGTGGTGGTGGTGGTGGCGGTGGTGGCCCTGGCAATGATGGTGGTAGTGAAGGCAGTGGTGGTGGTGATGGTGGCGGTAGGGAGTGGTAGTGTAGCAATTAGCGTACTGCGCTATGAACCCAGCCACTCGAGTTCAAATCCCACACATGGCCAACATCAGAGATGATTACTTGAACCGGTCCTGGGCCTCTCCGAGGTCGAATCAGCCTCCGATGAGTACCTGGTGCATTGTGTAAACATCGACACTGGGGAGACAAAGGCGACCAGGCGTGGTACCGGCCAACCACCCCTTCGTGCACCGTGCCGGCCTTCGTAGGCACTACGCAAGCGTCACTTGCCCTGTCAGTCTGTATGGGCCACACGGGTGAACTTTTCATCTTCATGTTTGCGTCTGTGTAGAGAACGGAGACTTCCTGTCGCTGGACCTGGGCGGCACGAACTTCCGCGTACTGCTTGTCAAGATCCGCAGCAGCAAGAAGCGAAGCGTGGAGATGCACAACAAGATCTACCCCATCCCTGCGGAGATCATGCAGGGCAGCGCCGAGGACGTACGGAGATGCACACACAGATACAGATACGCACAGATATGGAGATACATCAATACCTGCCATTCGCCACTAAGTGGCACCTGTGCGCCAGGCCAGGTGCACTTTGAGACCACGTGAAGTGTGGAAGACTCACTGACATGGGACAGACCCAGGAGGTGCCATTGGTTGACTGACTGAGATGACTGGCAGATGCATCAGCTGTGCCCCCTACTGTGCAAACTTGCTGTATTTTAGCTGCCCAGCGCTCTACTCATTGTTGTGAGCATCGCTCCTCTACCCTCCATTATGTTGAAGGCCAACTGCCTCAAACTGACCAGTAGTGTCTTTTATGAGCCTCCTTCATAGATACACATACACACGTAAATACACACAGAGAGAGACCGATACACACACAGATACACACAGAGATAGAGACAGATACATACACACACACCGAGATACACGGAGAGATACGCACACAAAGACAGATACACACACCGATATACACAGAGATACACACACAGATATACACAAAGATACACACACGAAGATAAATACACACACAGATATAAAGACAAAGACACCCCATATAGCCTTAACAGACTGTTGGGGCAAGTGCTGTTCGTGAGCACCTATGAAGGCCGGCATGGCACACGAGGGGGTGGGTGGCCAGTACCACGCCCGGCCGCCTTTGTCTCCCCAGTGGTGATGTTTACACATCGCACCACGTACTCATTTGAGGCTGAGCTGACTTAGGGCAGGCCCAGCACTGGTTCAGATATTCGCCATTGTTATTGGTTGTGAGAGGAAATTGAACTCAAGTCACGAGTTTTGTCACGCTGTGCACAAACATTGACCACCGCTCCCCACACAGAGATACACACACAGATGTACAGAGAGATATAGAAAGAGATACAGAGAAAGGTATGCGCATAGGTACACGCAGACATAGACAGAATTATACATCCGTACATAACTGCACACACACACTAACCCATGCACCCGTGTCCCCCCACGTGTCTCCGTATGTGTCCCCGTATGTGTCCCTGCGTGTTCCCTGCGTGTCCCCGCATGCCCCCCCCCCCTGTGTCTCTGGGTGTCCCCATGTCCCTGCATGTTCCCGTATCCCCCCATGTGTCTGTGTGTGTCCCTGTGTGTCCCCGCATGTCCCTCCGTGTCCCCGCGTGTCCCCGAGAATAGCTGTTTGACCACATCGTGGGCTGCATCTCCGACTTCCTGGACTACATGGGCATGGCCGGGTGGCGCCTCCCCCTTGGCTTCACCTTCTCCTTCCCATGCCGGCAGACGAGCCTCGACGTGGTGAGCACCACCACCACTACCACCGTCACCACTACTACCATCGCCACTATCACCACCACTACTACTACCACCACTACCACCTCTACCACCTCCACTATCAACATCACCACCACCACTACTATGTGTTAGACACGTCCCCCTCAGTGAGGCAGATGTGATAGCTGCCTCCCTTGGTGCTTTTTTATTGCAGTTTCATGACGAGACCAGCGAGCCTAAATATCTTTCTAGTTTATACACATACGTGAAATAAGTTACCTGGAGTATGGAAGGCGCGGACATGAAATGAAGGGGTCTACAAACATTACATTGGTGACATACTGAGATAGTAACAGGCACGCGCTTATTGCACGCGCTCCATCCAGTTACTGAGGGGTTGCGCAATCAGAGGGGAGGCTGAGCTCGTCGCTGCCTCACCTCTCGTCTCTCCCTGTATTTGCAGCGGAGCTCCGCAAATTTGGCGATTTTGACTATAAAAATCGTACAGAAATTACATAACACAGATCAGTGGAAAAATCTTAATATTTATTTTATTTTATTATTCTTTTTTTTTTACTTTTCGTAACAGCTATTTTCATTGGAGTATTACAGGTGAGGCTCTGCCTCCCCTGCCTCCCCTGACCGCACGTCCCTGACCACCAGTACCAAAAAGATTTTTAAAAATCATGAGCAAACACAAGATCCAGGTTCGATTTAACACAGTACATAAAATTAGCAATCTGATGCGATCTGTGAAGGATGTGATCCCTGACATGCAATACCCCGGCATCTACAAACTAAGCTGCGCCTGCAGCAGTAGTCACATTGGGGAAACTCAGCGACACGTCTCGAACCGAGTTGGTGAACATAAGGCAGATCTGAAACACGGTAGGACCAATACCACGGCGGTGGCTGATCATTGCTTTAATGCGATGGACTCACAGGACATTGATTTCTCTAAGACGAAGGTGCTTTGCAAACCCACTGGCTATACTGACTATAATCACCCAGGAATGTCCTTAACGCTCGTGACGTCATTCCACATCGACCATCCCCCCTCATTAATATTCATGAGCAGGTGACGTCCTCCAAATGGACACCCCCACCCCTCATGAGTGGGTGACATCACTCCGCATGGAGAACCCCTCCCCCCTCAATAATAATCGTTATCGAACAGCCTCCCTCATTAACAATCATTAACTTGATTTGAAGCTTTCGTGACTGCAGGAATTCATACTCTTTGGTTCTTTCGGTAAAGTCACGTAGGTAGAAAAAAATAACTAATAAATCACCTCTTTCCCTCTGTAAATTTCACCCCCACCCTCTCGCCTGTTGCGGCAGCCCCCCCTCCCCCTCCTCGGATTAGCCGAGCTCATCCACCCCTACTCTCTGCGATTACGTTTACTTGCAAATTCCATCCCGAGTCCTGCCCACTTACCCTTGGGTTGTAGCCACCACAAATGTATACAACCTTTGGTTGCAGTAGCTCTCTCGCTACATTTCCTCCTCTGCAGTCCGCCTGCTGTATTGTTTCACCTGAAGACAGTGGCTTGTGTTGCTATCGAAACGTCGTGATTTATTAGTTATTTTTCTATCTACATCACTTTACCGAAAGAAACAAAGAGTATGGGATTATAACCTTAAAATGAAATAGGTCTGTTTCACCGCGCCCTTACAAATTGCACATGCATTAATGCAATGAATATAACGTCGCGGTCTGCTTATCGCTTGCAAGTTTCAGATTTACTGCAATACACCCGTCCTTGGACGGGCAAAAGGCAAGTCAACAAAGATTTGTTCATGAAGCCATCCATATGTCCAGACGTAGACACAATTTCAACCGAGAAGATGGGTACAAACTCAGCAATCACTGGAAGGATGTTATCAACCAGTTTAAGTCATAACTGGCTGTTATGTTTCCATTTTAGACCTGGTAGCCCTTTAATTGGTGGAAGCCCACCACCAGGACCATCACTGCCCACTACTACCACCACCTCTAGCAGCAACCTCCACCATCAGCAGTGTGGGTGTGTGGAGCGAGGTGCAATGATTGCCTGGCGGCCCTGTGATTGGTGGAGACCCACTGCCGGTGTCTTGTTTTCTCCTACATTAACATCAGCTGCCCCGCCCATGTTGTTCACACACTTGGGCTACGCCCATCTCTAAACCTTTATAAACAGTTTGCCTTTAGAGGCTAACCCCCTATTCCTGATGACGACCACTTGTGTTGCAATCAAAACGTCGTAGTTTTTTGTTATTTTATTTGAATATATCTACGTGACTTTACCGAAAGACCCAAAGAATATGAATTCCTGCAGTCACGAAAACTTTAAGTCAAGATTTACACGGGGAATCTTTGTGTGTGTGTGCAGGGGTTCCTGGTAAACTGGACCAAGGGCTTCAAGGCCTCAGGCTGTGAGGGCAAGGACGTGGTGATGCTGCTCCGGGAGGCGATCCAGCGCAGAAACGTATGCCGCCACATATACGTACACACAAAGGTGCCCTGTGTAGCCCACACAGGCTGTAGGGCAAGTGCTCTTTGTGAGTATCAGCTGACACAGCGTGGCACCTATGAGCGGCGGTGTGGCCAATAACACCGTCCCCGCCCGGCTGCCTTTGTCTCTCCCAGTGTTGATGTTAACACGCCACACCTGTTCAGATTGTCGGAACTGATGTTGACTGTGAGCGGGAATTTGAACTCGTGAACGTGGGTTACTGGGTTCGAGGCGCAGTGCGCTAACCATTGCACCACTGGTCCCTAACATAGGCCCCAAGGCAGTTGCACCGCCTGCGTACTCACTATCTGCAGCACTGCTTACTCGCACTCACGCGACAGCTCCACAAAAATAATGCTTCCAAACAAACGAAAGGCACAGATCACCGGGGATCATAGCGCGGTGTGCTAACCACTGCGCCACCAATCCCCTCAATCATTTAATCGCTCACCCATTCACCTACTCAACGAACCACTCACCCACCCACGTAGTCACCCTCTCACTCACTCACCCTCGCCAGCTCAGCCACGTCTGTGCGTGCGTGACTGTAGGAGTTCGAGCTGGACGTGGTCGCGGTGGTGAACGACACGGTGGGAACCATGATGACGTGCGCCTACGAGGACCCCAAGTGCGAGATCGGACTCATCGTCGGTGAGTCGCTCGCTCTCACTCGATCGCACACTCTCGTTCACTCGCTCTCGCCCGCTTGGCTCACTGGCTCTCTCACTCACTCGCTAGTTCACTCTCACTCACTCTCGCTCACTATCGCTCGCTCGGACTCGATCGCACACTCTCGCACACTCTTTCTGGCTCACTCTCTCTCGCTCACTGTCACTCACTCAATCTCACTCACTCTTGCTCACTCACTCTCGCTCACTCAATCTCACTCACTCTCACTTGTTCACGCTCGCTCGCTGGCTCACCCACTCACTTTTTCACTCGCTGACTCGCTCACACTGACTCTCTTTCTCTCACTCACTCTCTCTCTTAGGCATGCTCACTCGCTCACTTACTCCCTCTCACTCACTCTCGCTCAATCACTCGCTCTCACTTGCTCACTCGCTGGCTCACTCTCTCGCACAGTCACTCACTCTTTGTCACGCCAACGGTGACAGCCGCCAATCGCCTCTAAGTCATCGTGACGTCACCACAGCACGTGTGCTAGACTGGGTGCACTCCGAGGCCACGCGAGGAGGCAAATCAGTGTTGCAATCAACGCTGTCCAATTTCTTAAAGAAGTGGGACCACCAGGGCATCCTTCCAATCTTGCGGAAATCCATCTTGTGGTGCGGACGGTCGTAATGGTGTCATACAGAGCAACCTGCACACAGACACCACCCTTTCTCAGCAGTTCTATTGAGAGGGCATCTCTGCCCGCGAAATGTTCCTGGTCTGAGGCTCTGGATCACTCTTTGCACTTCCTCAACAGATGGCACCTCAGACAGCCGCTCACAGGGGGGCAGCCACTTCCAACACAATTTGAGGCAAAGCATCCCCAGCAGGGTCGTCCCCACCTTGTCCTCGTAATGTTATCTGGGCTGGGGGATTACTCCTCCCCCAAGACCCCTCAGAAGTGGTCAGCAAATCTGAAAACCTATTCCTGGGGATCAGAGATTGGATCGCCACTCTTTTTCCTTAAGGATGGCAATACGTGTGGTGTTGCAAAGTTACCTTATTGATGGAGTCAGAGTGATTTGTGATTGCCGGCTACTGAGGCAGCTTCCATTTCCTCAGCAACCCCTGACCACCACTCATTGCAGCATCGTGCGGCTCTTTGAACCTCCCAAGCGATTCTCCGACATGGGTTGTTGTAGACGGTGGAAGTGGGCCTGTCTCGCGACCAGCCGGAACACTTCCTTCGTCAGCCAGGATCTCTGGGGAGGTCTGAACTGTGTTCCCGTTGCAGCCATAGCAGCCACATGAGCCACAGTCCTCAACCTTACCCATTTACCCTCGGCATCAGGAGGAGGGTGGGACTATGCCAACCACAGCTGCATGTGATGATGAAATTCTAAGCAATCACCTTCATCAGCTACCTCAGACCAGGCTACTGTGGGTTTCAACGGGGTCTTAGGTGGACGCCCAACACTGCAGTGGAAGAGTGGCAGGCGCATCTTACAGATGACAAGCCGATGGTCATTGGCCATATCGTATGAATGCATGTATGTTGAACTTCTTTCGCAGCATAAGTAGCCGGCCATGCTAATCAGAAGTGTGGGGGAAGACAACAAACTAAACACAAAAAATATATCAGCTCCATGGTAGCCCAAATGCACTGTTCCATCACTTTGTAGTCCAGAAGATATTTTTTCTTGGACCCAGCGTGCATCCATGATGTTTTGTGGATGCGCCGATCCTGGTACAGCGTGTTGGTAATTACAAACCCATTGGCTGCACAGAAATCTAGCAGCCTCCGACCGTTATTATTGAGCTGATCTTCCCCATGCCTTCCAATTAGTCCATCCCAGGTGACTGCGTCAGTACCCACGAGGACATTACACTCAGCCATGCAGATGACTCTATGCCGAGGGGTCACTTTAGCCAGCAGCAGGAACACGATGTCATAGAAGGCATCTAACTCATCAGCCTTGCCTGTATCCCTCCATTGATGTTCATCTTTGGTGTGGGTGCAAGCCACCGCCACCACTACCACCACCACCATTTCTCGCCTCCTGTTGATGGGGTGGGCGAGCCCAGAGTAACTTCTCACTCCTTACTGCCACACTCCCACGACCCCTTCAAGATTTTCTGCAGAAGAAGAACCCCTCCCTGTATATTGAATCCACCTTGCCTAACATTCCTCCACCGATGTTCATCCTCTATCTCTTACCCATCTCATCTCTCTCCCATCTCTCTCACCCATCTCTCTCACCCATTTTCTCTCACCCATCTCTCTCACCCATCTCTCTCCCATCTTTCTCCCGTGTTTCTGCCGTGTCTTTTCCATGCCGCGGCTGTGCCCAGGCACGGGCAGCAACTGCTGCTACATGGAGGAGATGCGGAACGTGGAGCTGGTGGAGGGCGACTCGGGCCGCATGTGCATCAACATGGAGTGGGGCGCCTTCGGGGACTCGGGCGTCATCGACGACATCCGCACCGAGTACGACCAGCTGGTGGACGCCGGGTCGCTCAACCCCGGCAAGCAGAGGTGTGCGGGAGCACACTGGGTTGCACGGCCTGTCTCGTGCACATGTGTACATGTGTGTGTATGTACGTGTGCGTGTGTGTGTACACTAGGAAGACAAAGGTGGCCAGGCGTGGTGCTGGCCACCCACACCCTCGTGTATTGTGCCAGCCTTCATAGGTACTCGCTAACAGCACTTGCCCCAACAGTCTGTTACAGGCTATACGGGGGATCTTTGTCTTAGTTTTTTTTCTGAATGGTGGCACAGTGGCTATCGCATTGAGCTCTGAACACAGTCCGATTCTCGCTCACGACCAACATTAGTAATGATTATTGGAACTGATCCTGTGGCCTCCCCTAGGACAACTCAGCCTTAAATCAGTACCTGGTGTGGTGTAAGACAAAGTTGTAGTGCCGTTCTTCATAGGTGCTCGCTCAACAGTACTTGCCTCTCTCGAGGCCTCACGGGGACCTGTGCCTCTGCAGGTTTGAGAAGCTCATGAGTGGGATGTACCTGGGCGAGATCGTGAGGAACATCCTCATGGACTTCACCAAGCACGGCCTCCTTTTCCGCGGAAAGATCTCCGAGCGTCTCAAAACCCGCGGCATCTTCGAGACGAGGTTCCTCTCCCAAATCGAGAGGTGAGCCCCAGGGATGATGGGGGGAGGGGGGGGGGGCAGGGACAGAGATGTTGCCATCCACTCAGACTTGCACAAATTCGGACGCGTGGCCATCTCCATTCATCGTCCCGTGTGTCCCCGCGTGTCCCCGCGTGTCTCCGCGTGTCCCCGCGTGTCCCCGCGTGTCCCCGCGTGTCTCCGCGTGTCCCCGTGTGTCTCCGCGTGTCCCCGTGGGTCCCCGCGTGTCTCCGTGTGTCCCCGCGTGTCCCAGCGTGTCCCCGCGTGTCCTCGTGTGTACATCTCCATTCATTGCGCCGTGTCGTACTCGTGTCCCCATGTCCCTGTCTGTCCCCGCGTGTCCCCGCGTGTCCCCGCGTGTCCCCGCGTGTCTCCGCGTGTCCCCGCGTGTTCCCGCGTGTCCCCGCGTGTCCCCGCGTGTCCTCGCGTGTCCTCGTGTGTAATCTCCATTCATTGCGCCGTGTCGTACTCGTGTCCCCATGTCCCTGTCTGTCCCCGCGTGTCCCGTGTCCCCGCGTGTCCCCACGTGTCCCCGCGTGTCCGTCGCCACTCATCGCCCTGTGTCCCCCCCGACTGTGTTCTCACAGTGACCGGCTGGCCTTGCTGCAGGTGAGGAACATCCTGCACGAGCTGGGCCTGGAGAGCACGTGTGATGACAGCATCATCGTCAAGGAGGTACGGGGGTGGTTGTGGTAGTGGTGGCTGTTATAAGATCCTAGATTTGAAGTTGTCGTGACTGCAATGATCCATACTCTTTGTTTTTTTTGGTAAAGTCAAGTAGGTGAAAACAAAATAAAATAAAACATAAAATAATTTAGTTGCTTTATTTTTATTTTATTTTGTTTTCACCTACGTGACTTCACCGAAAAAAAACAAAGAGTATGTTATAAGATCCCCCTGCCATTCTTCCACTGCTGGTGGTGGGCATCCACCTAGGAGCCCATTCAAACCCACAATAGCTGGTGAAGGTTACAAGCAAGAATTTTATCATTGTTTGCAGCGGAGTTAATGGGAAAACGACGATCGTTCAACGCGTGTTTGCTTACCGAGCAATTTTCGCGGAACGCATCTCGCTCGTTAAGTGAGATGACACGCCTGTCGTTTGTTCTCACTGTGGAGCTGTGCCGCACTGGTGTGTTGTTGTCTCACCGTGGTGCGGTGTGTGGTGCGGTGCTAGGTGTACTGTCATCTCACCGTGGTGCAGTGTGTGTTGCGGTGTGCGGTGCAAGGTGTGCTGTTGTCTCACCGTGGTGCGGTGTGGTGTGTGGTGCCGTGCCATGTACGGCGCTAGGTGTGCGGCGTGGTGTCTCGCCGTGCCGCCCAGATGTGCGGTGCCGGTATGGCAGCCATCGTGGACAAGATCCGTGAGAATCGCGGCCTGGAGCACCTCAAGGTCACGGTTGGGGTGGACGGCAGCATGTACAAGCTGCATCCACAGTGCGTATCCCTCGGGGGCACAGGCGGGGGGCATGGGGGGGAATGGAAGGGGGACACGGGGGATACGAGGGGGGGTTGGGGCATGGAGGGGGAACGCAGGGCTATGAGTAGACACTCACCTGATGATTGTGTGACCCCCGTGTGACCCACCAGCTTTGCGCGCTTCCTGCACGACACGGTGAAGCAGCTCTCCCCCAAATGCGAAGTCAAGTTCCTGCAGTCGGAGGACGGCAGCGGCAAGGGGGCGGCGCTCATCACCGCTGTGGCGTGCCGCTTCCGCAACACCTCCGAGTCCTAGCCGCCCGGCACCACCACCTCGCACACCAAGCCTGCTCGGCACCACACCACCACACGCTGCCACCGGCACCACCGCGACCAAACACACCCCACCACCGCTTGGCACCACCACCACACACAATGCCACCACACAAACCGCCACCACACCACGACCATCACTGCACATACCGCCGTCGTGTGCCGCTGCTTGGAGTCTTAGCCATTCCACCACGGATAACCACTTCTACCACCCCACCACCACCATGGGGCACACACTGTCATGGCAGACACAACCTCGGACAACCACTACCACCACACAAAACAACGGACAACCACTACCTAGACCACCACACACCAACACGGATAACCACTACCGCCACAACCACAACACACAACCACGGACAGCCACTACCTCCACCACCACACACTAACACGAACAACCACTACCACCACACACTGCCCTGACACGCACGTCCATTTGGGATCGATTGCTCACCCCCAACCTTTAACCCCTGTAGCCCCAACACTCCTCCTCTGAGCTGTGAGTGGTAGGCGCTCCCCACAGCCGGTCCACGGTGAGGTCGAGCAGTGGTGAGTCGCATGTGTTTGGTGTGGGTGTGTGTGCCTCTGTGTGTCTTTGTCTCTTTGTGGCTATGTGTGTCTGTGTGTGTGTGCGTGTATGTAATTGTGTGTCTTTGGGAAGCGGTAGTGTAGCGGTTAGCGCGCTGCACTATGAACCCGGCGACCCAGGTTCGATTCCCGCTCACGGCCAACACCAGTGGCGATTATCTGAACTGGTTCTGGACCTCCCCTAGGTCGACTCGGCCTCAAATGAATACCTGGTGCGGTGTGTAAACATCGTCACTGGGGAGACAAAGGCGGTCGGGCGTGGTGCTGGCCACCCACCCCCTCGTGTATCGTTCCGGCCTTCATAGGTGCTCGCTAACAGCACTTGCCCCCTACAGTCTGTTAAGGCTATACGGGGGATCTTTGTCTTTGAATGCATGTCTGTGTGTACCTGAGTGGGTCCGTGTGTCTGTGTGCACGTTTGTGTACGCGAGTATTCTATACATGTGTGTTTCAATATATCTGTGTGTGTGTGTATCGCTGTGTTGTGTCTCTCTCTCTCTCTCTGTCTCTGCTTGGACAGTCCCACACATTTCGCGATGAGACGCGTTCATTTTAACTCCATGATGCACCTTACGTCGCCACCGTTGCCCACTGTAGACTATTGAGGCCCCCCGGTGAAGTCGGTCGTCAACACTGTACAGGCTCCTGTGACAAAGTCCCAGCACAACATCAACACCATAACAACACAGCAATAACCCGGAGCAGATCCCGGTTCAAACCAAAATGTTACCACCGAAACACAGGTGCCAATATCCAGACTGTTCCGGGTCAAAGCTGGACAGGTGGCTCCCCTGGGGGCACACCCTCTGGGCCACCTTGGAGGCCACCATCCTGGTTACTCCCTTGATTACCCCTTACACAGTCGGATGGTCTCACATCTCCCCCTGCTGCTTTGAAGCTTTGGTTCATCACCCCCCTGCGACGTTTGCCGTGGTATTTATTGAATCTGGCCGCCACTCGATTTGGCGGGGTGGCCTCTGCGTCCAATCAGTTCTGTCGTCCAGCCAGCTGGCCACCCATCGTGGTGAACCTTGTATAGAAATGGTCGTTACGAACCTCGACCTGTGATCCGGCACTTTGGGAAGGGTAGGGGTTGATGGTTGGTGGATAACACAGATTTGTGGAACTCCCAAACATCTCTCTCTGTGCTGCTGCTGCTACTACAGGGGATGGCAGTGCAGCAAGCTGAACTCGTCTGTGTGGCAGAGCAGTTGAGTGTTGCAGCCCGGTGCTGGCTTCTCTCCGGGTTCTCCCGTTTTTCTCCCACGTAAAGAGAGCACAACTCTCAATTACTGGCAAGTGAAGGGGATTGGCCAAACGTCCCGACGTGGCAGCACCCCTCTTGAAAAGCAGTCTTGAGATTCGGCGAGTCTTTCCAGGGTAACTTGATGTTGTTAATACTGTATTTGTCTGAGCCCGAGGGATAGCGATGCAATGTACTGTTGTGTGATGAGGGTGTTGTTGATGATGATGACGACGCAGTGTGGCGCTGTGTGATGGCTAGAGGGGTGTGATTGGATGGCAATCGTTATGAGATGATTGATTCATCCAATTAGCTGGGCGATGATGATGGCGATTGATAAGGGATGACGATGAAATGAGGCGGCTGATGATGGTCATGATGTGAAGTCCTGTCTCCGAGTGCCCCCCGTGTGTCACTTTAAGTCACTCTGTGTTGCCGTGTGTCACCGTGTGTCACCACGTGCCACTGTGTGTACCCATGTAAACACTTCCTCGGCATGTGTTGGCGACGTCGCTTCTGTGTGTGTCTACTTGAAAGTCGTCCGCGTGGTAATGATGACTATGACGATAGATGATGATGATGCTGACCATGATGACTGATGACAGTGATAGTGGTGACGAGTTGCCACCTTTTACACATCATCAACACTTGTGCAGTCTCCCACACTTAAATTCAATGCCACCAGATCTTGGTACCAAAGCAATTCCAGTCACAGGAACACAGATGCCCAGACAGGTGCCAACCCCGGTGGTCCTAGTGAAGGTGATTTTTTGTTTTTATTTTCGAGCCGCCCTTCCATATGCCGGTAGTGGCGTATCAGACCGCTTTACGTCACATCTTGGCATATTTGAAAGTGGCACCCCCCCCCCCCCCCCCCCAGTGGCAGCTGTCCCCTGTGTGGCATGAGATGACGCGGACCCTGGCCTGCAAGCGGGCGTCAGGCTGTCAGTAGGGCGGTGATGAATGCTGATGCTGCGTGGAATCCCAATTGAGTAACGATTGCTGTGACGATGTTCACGATGTGTGACAGGAGAACTGATAATACTGATGACGACGATGATAGTGATGACGATGATCGTGATGACAATGGCGGTGATGACAATGCTGATCATAGCAATGCTGATAACGGTGACGGCGACGATGACAATGCTGATGATATTGAAGACGGAGCCGAAGACCATGCGGATGACCCAGGCTGTGCGCAATCACAAGCTTTTATTTATTGTGCGTTTTGTGTAGAGTAGCGCGCGGCGTGCCCCGCCGGGCTGTGTGCTCACCGTGCTTCGGGGGTGTAACGAATCCACAGATCAATCACCGGGTTCTCTCTCCACGCTGTTAGAACAAATTCGATAGCTTCACTCGAGACCCCTTGCGGCAGCCACGAGCGGAGCGCTAAATATTTTCCCCCCAAAATATGATAAATCGTCTAATTGCATCGTTACACCCCTCAAACGATTACAGAGCGGCGTTTCTGCGTTCGTCAATCGCGACAATGTCGCGTGCGGTGGGATAACGTGTGGGGTGCGCTCACCTCTTCTTCCGAGACGGTACAGGTCAACGTGGAAGAGTAGACCAAAAATATCGGCCAGAGCCAATCGGCGGTGGGCTTCGAGCCGCCGCATCGCTTGAGGATGTGACGACCGCTCTGTCGTGGCTCTGTAAAATGGCTCCACGTGTCTGTGGTTGTGAATAAAGAAGCGCCGTGTCCCCACCATTCTGCGCCTGCGCCGCGTCCAATGTCTACACTGCCAAAGAGGCATCATGGTCGGTCTATCATCTGGCAGTCGGTAGGACATTGCTCGTGATGATGGTAAACGCCTGGAGAGGCGCACGCTTGGAGTTGCACCGAGAGATGGCAAGAGGAGCATGTATGTGTATGTTGAACTTATTTCGCACCGTACGTAGCTAACCGTGTTTATCTGACGGTGTGGGGGGAGGGCGACAAATTAAACACAAAGAGCATTTCTAAAGAGATGAGTTTTCAATCCAGATTTGAAAGTGCGTAGCCCCAGTGGCTTCCGAATATCGGAAGGAAGAGCATTCTAGACGGCCGCAGATGCACATCTAAAAGTGCACGATGCAGTGACCGTCTTTGTTCTATGACTAGCCAAAAGCCACCGCGAGGATGACCGGAGTTCATGTGATAGTTTATGTTTCTTGAGATCAGAAAGGCATCTTGGTTTATTTGTGGCAAGGGTTAACATATACGCAGGTTGATAACATCACAATGACCTCTATTATGGGCTCGGGCAGAACGTGCCACGGCTAAGGGACAATGATGGCTGGTGGTCGAGAATCTCGAGAGAGAGTGGCAGCTCGGGAGTAGAATGCGTCCTAGAGCACGTCCATAGAGGAGATGGAGCGATGTAAATCCTCTCGTGTGCAGAAGCTGAGTGAATTGTTATATCATAAGATATGGTAATCGTTGGCGATAGGTGTGGGGAATTCCATCATCCATCTACTATTTAGCTTTTTATTTTACCAGGTAAAGTCCACTAAGTGACATAGCCACATATCTCACCGAAGTGACTTATCACGTAGAAATGTATAGCATCCAAATTATTGAAACGCATGTTGATTCTAAATGTGGAGGGAAAACTTGAAGAACCCAGAACAGAATCCACACGAACACGGGGAGAGACATGCAAACTCCAAATATACACCAGGTCTCAGGGTCGGGATCATACGCACGACCTCCTGCATACCAGGCGAGGTAGTTAACATATCGCTGTCGTGGCGCCCCGAGCAGTGGATCGACCATGGCCGACGTTGACAGCATCGACGAGAACTTCAAATTCCCACGTGCCAAACAGTGACGTCACCCCAACGCCCTCGGTGTCACGTGACCGAACACCCTTTCCCACATCCTTTTCCGTGTCACGTGACTCCTCGCGCCCCTCGTCCAATCAGCGTTGAGGGGATCCGGATCCCGGAAACCCGGTTCTAGATTCTTCGGAAAGAACCGAAGCTGAGAGGCGGCGAGCCGCGACCTACTTCACCACTCTGGTCGCCAACGCGGGCGGCCACGTGGGGAGCACGGCGAGTACAGCACAACACCGCGTGCTGCTGCTGGGGACGGAGCACAGTTCGACTCCCGCTCACGGCCAACACCGGTGACGATTGTTTGAATCGGTCCTGGGCCTCATCTAGGTCGACTCGGCCTCAAATGAGGTGTAGCGGTGTGTAAACATCGCCACTGGGGAGACAAAGGCGGCCGGGCGTGGTGTTGGCCACCAACAGCCTCGTGTGCCGTGCCGGCCTTCATCGTAGCTCGCTAACAGCGCTTGCCCCTGCAGTGCGGGAGGGCTATCGGGAGATCTTTGGATTATGGTTGGAGGCGTTTTCGTGTCGAGGCACTGGCTGCGATTGAGCAGCACTTGGCCACGCTGGTTCAGCGCGGCCTGGGGGGACGCGATGAGCACTGCGAGTGCACTACTATGCTGGGTTAGGAACATTTGGGCTGGCCTGTCGACGGCTGGATTGTGTTTGGAGCTCTCAATGAAATATCTGGGACAGTTTTCATCATCGGTGAGCTCCTCCGGCAGGCGAGGCTGGGCCATGTAACTCGCATGCCCCCAAGCAGCTTCTGTTTGGCCGGATCGAGGGGGCTAAACCAGCGCGGCACGGGCTAGAGAAGAGATGGACTGATTCGGTACAGGAGGACGTGGAGCTGAGTGGCCTTGTAGATGACTGATCACAGCGGTGTCAAGATCGGCCTCTGTGGAGGAGGCTCGTGAAGGACGCTGCTGCTACTGGGCAGTTGGAGGCAGTCGCCTTTCAACAACAACGGAGGGCCGAGTAGCAACGCTCACAACAACGTGCGGAGCGCTGCGTGACTAAAACGCAGCGAGTTGATGCAGCTGGTGCATCTGCCAGTCAACCCATGGCACCTGGGCCTGTTCCGTAACCTGCGATCGGGTAGTAGTGTTGGTAATAGGGTAGTAGCAATGTGGGTGTTGGTATTGGGGTAGTAATAGGAGTGTGGGTGTTGGTATTAGGGTAGTAGTAGTAGTGTGGGTGTTTGTATTAGGATAGTAGTAGTGTGGGTGTTGATATTGGGGTAGTAGTGTGAGTATTGGTATTGGGGTAGAAGTAGTAGTATTGATATTGGGGTAGTAATAGTGTGAATGTTCGTATTGGGGTAGAAGTAGTGTTGGTATTGGGGTAGTAGTAATAGTGTGGGTGTTGGTATTGGAGTAGTAGTGTGAGTGTTGGTATTGGGGTAGTAGTAGTGTTGTGAGTATTGATATTGGGGTAGAAGTAGTAGTGTTGGTATTGAGGTAGTAGTAGTAGTGTGGGTGTTGATACTGGAGTAGTGTGGATGTTGGTATTGGGGTAGTAGTAGTGTGAGTGTTGGTATTGGGGTAGTAGTGTGGGTGTTGGTATTGGGGTAGTAGTAGTGTGAGTGTTGGTATTGGGGTAGTAGTGTGGGTGTTGGTATTGGAGTAGTAGTAGTGTGAGTGTTGGTGTTGGGGTAGTAGTGTGGGTGTTGGTATTGGGGTAGTAGTAGTGTGAGTGTTGGTATTGGGGTAGTAGTGTGGGTGTTGGTATTGGAGTAGTAGTAGTAGTGTGGGTGTTGGTATTGGGGTAGTAGTAGTGTGAGTGTTGGTATTGGGGTAGTAGTGTGGGTGTTGGTATTGGGGTAGTAGTAGTGTGAGTGTTGGTATTGGGGTAGTAGTGTGGGTGTTGGTATTGGAGTAGTAGTAGTGTGAGTGTTGGTATTGGGGTAGTAGTGTGGGTGTTGGTATTGGAGTAGTAGTGTGAGTGTTGGTATTGGGGTAGTAGTAGTGTTGTGAGTATTGATATTGGGGTAGAAGTAGTAGTGTTGGTATTGAGGTAGTAGTAGTAGTGTGGGTGTTGATACTGGAGTAGTGTGGATGTTGGTATTGGGGTAGTAGTAGTGTGAGTGTTGGTATTGGGGTAGTAGTGTGGGTGTTGGTATTGGGGTAGTAGTAGTGTGAGTGTTGGTATTGGGGTAGTAGTGTGGGTGTTGGTATTGGAGTAGTAGTAGTGTGAGTGTTGGTATTGGGGTAGTAGTGTGGGTGTTGGTATTGGGGTAGTAGTAGTGTGAGTGTTGGTATTGGGGTAGTAGTGTGGGTGTTGGTATTGGAGTAGTAGTAGTAGTGTGGGTGTTGGTATTGGGGTAGTAGTAGTGTGAGTGTTGGTATTGGGGTAGTAGTGTGGGTGTTGGTATTGGGGTAGTAGTAGTGTGAGTGTTGGTATTGGGGTAGTAGTGTGGGTGTTGGTATTGGAGTAGTAGTAGTGTGAGTGTTGGTATTGGGGTAGTAGTGTGGGTGTTGGTATTGGGGTAGTAGTAGTGTGAGTGTTGGTATTGGGGTAGTAGTGTGGGTGTTGGTATTGGAGTAGTAGTAGTAGTGTGGGTGTTGGTATTGGGGTAGTAGTAGTGTGAGTGTTGGTATTGAGGTAGTAGTAGTGTGGGTGTTGGTATTGGGGTAGTAGTCGTCGTGTGGGTGTTGCGTGGCGCCGAGTGTAGAAGCAGCTTTGGGGACGACGAGGAGGAGGATGCAAAGAGGCATGGCCGACGTGTGCAGTCTTGCGTCAACATCGCTCCTGGGGTGTGCTCACGTCGTGTTCCGCTGGCGATGTCATGCTGATGATGTCGTTCTGATGATGTGTCGCTTGATGTTGCTATTTTTGTTGTATGTTGTTGATACATAGTGGTAATGGACTGATGTTGCACTCATGTGTTGATTTGTCTGAGTGTTGGCGTGATGCTATATATATATTTTACATCGACCTTGTGTTGTGTTCAAATTGTGTCAATAATTTATTTATTATGGTCACTTGGAAAGTCCCTTTTGACATTAACTATCTCTAGCATGTCGGCTATCACGCACATAACATACACGCAATGGCACGTATACACAGATTCACACATAGACAACGTAAGGCAACGTTTCCCCCCCATGTAGCCTTAACAGACTGTTGGGGCAAGTGCTGTTAGCGAGTAGCACCTATCTACGAAGGCCGGCACAGCACACGAGGGGGTGGGTGGCCAGCACCAGGCTCGGGCCGCCTTTGTCTCCCCATTGGAGATGTTTACACACCACACCAGGTACTCATTTTTAACACCTGTTTTGTTGCCAGAAAAAAAGGGGAAAACCTATTCTCATATTTTGGTACTGGCAAAGGAGGTCCCATGATGTAGCTGCTCACCCCGGGCTCTCATTACTCTGATAGTGCGTGTCTTTGTGCTGTACGCCTTTTGGCGTCCTCTGGTCTAACACCGTTTGAGACAAGGCTCGAAAGAAATCTGTCTCTGGTGTGGACCAATCGGTTTCAAAGACAATGCATATATTATCAGAGAATGTTTTTTTGTTTGCATTCTGACCACAAGTATTTTGGTTAATGCAGACATGATTCCTTGTAAAAGGTTTCAGTTTGGTGTTTTAATATCTTAACACAACAGTTTTTTTTGCCACAAAAAAGGGGAAAACCTATTCTCGTACTCATTTGAAGTTGAGGCGACCTCAGGGAGGCCCAGGACCGCTTCAGACAATCGTCACTGGTGTTGGCTGTGAGTCGGAACCAAACTCGGGTTCCTAGCTCCCTACACACCCACTCCGTACACACCCACTCTCAATTGAAAACTCATTTATTTTTGTGTTTAGTTGTACTTCTCCCGCACCTCCGATTAGCATGGTTGGCTACGTACGGTTCAGAATGAAGTTCACCATACATATATGTACATCCACTCAGCCACTCGCTCACCCACCGACACTCACCTGTCCAATTACTCATCCACTCACTCACCCACTTACTCACGAGTTGATGCGGGCACTGGCGGAGCCATTATGGGGGGTGGGGTGGCACGTGCCCCCCCAATGATCTAACCGAAATTAAGGATTTTGATCGGATCATTGGGGTTTATTAGTAATAAATAGGCATTTTGCGACCCCCACTGCCACTGTGTAGCATATTTTTATGTGCCAGGGTCTCTATGAGATGATAGGGCAATAGTCTGAGTCCATAATTGACAATAAGTAACGGCAAAGCAGTTAGAAGTGACTCACAGAATTGTGCGCAGTTGCGTATACAGTGCACGACTTCCCTGAAGGCACATTCACCCTCAGCGAGCGCGATGCCGATCACACAACGCGATTCGAATTCGACCCTCCATCGATGGCTGCGCCATCGCCGCACACGCTCGCATAAAAAGCAAGGGACAAGTCCTTACTTACTAACAACTCCTCTATCATTCTTCATTGCTGGAGGGGTTGCCCCCGCTACCTGAAAATCCTGGCTCCGCCATTGGATGGGGTTGGTCTAGTATTAGTCACTAGTTGATATGGGATGGGGTAGGTCTAGTATTAGTCACTAGTTAAGTGGCAGTCAACTTCTCATTCACTTATTCCTTTATGCAGTCCATACTTACTAGTCAGTACGGTACATTACTTTGTCCGTATCGCACTCGTATTGGATTGTGAAGCTGCCATTTGTTTTCAGGCACAGCAAGCTCGGCCTCAGGTAGTCTGGTGGTCTGATTCGACGTTGCCGCAGTGGTTGCAGCTCCAATCAGAATTTGTGACGTCGATGTTGTGCTGACGTATTGATGCGTGTTCCATGCCGTGTCCATATCTTGCGTTGACGTAATGTTTATATTGACGCGTCAATGTTGTGCCGATGTGTGTAGCGTCCCGTGGTGTGTTGAAGACGTAGGAGCGGGACTCTGGGAGCATCGCACATGGACGACGCCGCCACCGCTCCCCCAGATGTAGTCATCCTGGGAGAGGTCAACAACAGCCCTGGTGAGAGCAAAGCTCACCTCGCTCACCCACCTACTCACTCGCCCACTTGCTCACTCACCCACGTGATCTTTCACTTGCTCACTCATTTACCTGCTCACTCACTTGCTCACCTGCCAACTCACCCACTGAATTTTTCACTGATTCACTCACACACTCATTGACTTATCCACTCACCTCCCATCCTATCCCACTCACTCACCCACTGACTTGATCACTCATCCATTCACTCACCCCCTCTCTATGCCTCTCACCTACTAATTTACTCGCCCACAAATTGTCTCACCCACTCAGTCACCCTCTCCCGATCACACTCACCCACTCATCTCACTAATTAACTCACTCTGCCCCTCCTGAATCCCTCTCACTCACCTTCTCACTAATACACTCACCCACTCAATGACTGCTTCCCTATCCCACTCACTTTCCTGGCCACTCACTGGCTGCACATGACTCTGATGTTTGCTTCTGCCCTCCCTCCCCCTCCTAACCCCCCCACCCCCCCAGCCTCGTGGAATCGCCGGAGCCCAGTCCTCGTTGTCTCTGACGATTCGGACGACGGCGACAACTATGACATCAACGCCATCCTTCACGCGGTGACGATGATGTAACGGTGGTGTTGATGTTGGTGGTGGTGATACTGGCACAGTGGGGAGCACAGGTGGTGCATCTCCCAGTCATCTCAGTCAGTCAACCCATGGCACCTGCTGGGTCAGTCCCGTCACCTCCTGCCAGCGTGCCTTCGACACTTCACGTGGCCTCAAAGTGCACCTGGCCTGGCACAAGCGCCGTGGTGACGTCAACACCACTTGATGGCGAATGGCGGTTGTTGGTGATGGCGGTGATGCTGATGATATGGGGAGCAGTGCTAAGAACCCAGCAACCCAAGTTTGATTCCCGTTCGCAACAAACACCAGTGATGATCATCTAAACCCGTCCTGGTCTTCCCCTAGGTCGACTCAGCCTCAAAAAATTACCTATTACAGTGTGCAAACATCATCACTGGGGAGCCAAAGGCGGTCAGGTGTGGTGCTGGCCACCCACGCCCTCGCGTGCCGTGCCGGCTCGTGAACGGGGGGGGTCTTTGTCTTTGATGTTGATGATGTTGATCGTGACGATGACGATGTTAATGCTTGGCTGCTAACCCCCCGCGCAGGTGGAGGAGCTCCGGAGCGAGGACGACAATGATATTGCTGCCATGACGGCGCCAGCATCGGCGCCCAAGGAGGTGGTGGTGGAGGGTGCGGAGGAGGCACCGGCTGGTCCCGACGAGGGCGGCGACGGTGGCGCCGTTGGCATCGACCGCGACCAGCTAGCCACGGTCGTGGGCCAGGTGGTGAGTGCCAGCGAAGGGTGGGGGTTCAGTTTCCCCATGACCGTGTGATAACTGGAGCGTTACGACACCCAGAGGGTGCCGGGTTCGATTCCATTTCCCGGCGTGACAGTTGAAAAAGAATGGCAGCTTTTTTCTGAACCATTTCCCATTCCGATGACGTGCATGTACGTCATCAGTTTATCATCAGGTTCTTTTCCGATGACGTGCATGTGCGTGTACGTCATCGGGAACAGGTACCGGAACTAAAACTAAAATCAAGTAACTTTATCGGTACCGAGGCTCCCACAAGACCATGCAAGGAGGGCGTGTGGCACAGTGTTGCCGCCAGCTATCGTAGAGTGGCGACGGTCATGTGATCTTTATGGCGCTACCCCGGGGTACCAAATAATACAAAATGGCTGAGGCAATGAAATATTTTATTTCTGGGACACTATTTTTTCTAGGGGTGTACTTAACTCCGCGACTGGAATACAAATCAATCCGACATCAGTGCGATGTCGAAACGCAGCGAGGACGATTGCGCTGAAACCCTGAAAGCGCGTATTCACCATATCACATCTTGTACAGCTCGTCGAGATGAGTCGATTGCCGCATCGCCGACCATCAACAGACTTAAAACGACTTCATCACGGACATTATGCGAGAGCCGGGGTACTGCCATAAGGTTCATGTCGCTACGGTTGAGTATAAAAACGTCTTTATTAAAACAACAGCGCTACTAATGCTACTACGCCTCTAAAGTAAAATTGACACTTATCCGCTTGCACGGTCCGAGATTCGGCAGTGAAAGGGACACCCACCCACCACCCTGCAACTTGCAGATGTCTCGGAATGGGAGAGGGTTCGTTCACCCCACTGCCCCTCCATCCTTGGCCATCTCCGCAGCAGCAGCAGCAGCAGTGTAAGTGAGTTCACCACAGTTGGTCTATGGTAGGCAGCTCACCGTGCGTGGTGCTGGTTGCGCTGGTCGTGGTGGGGAGCGGTAATGTCCGAGTTCAATTCCCGCTCACGGTCAACACCAGTGACAATTATCTGAACCGGTCCTGGGACTTCCCTAGGTTGACTCTGCATCAAATGAGTACCTGGTGTGGTGTATAAAAACATCGCCACTCAGGAGATAAAGGCAGCTGGGCGTGGTGTTGGCCACCCACCCCCTCGTGTACCGTGCCGGCCTTCATAGGTGCTCGCTAACAGCACTTGCCCCAACAGTCTGTTCAGGCTATACGGGGGATCTTTGTCTTTGGTGTTGTGGTAATTAGTTCTGCGCTTAGACTGGATACATTCCAGCGCTGGGAATGAAAAATATTGGTTTGAATGTCGTGCGACAGGCGTGATTCTCTTTGGCTGGGCAGCTGGGAAAGGGCTGGCCCCCAGGGCGTCACTTCAAAACGGGATCTCTGGCGGTAGCTCCGTGAAACCTGCTTCAGTGGGCTGCTCTCCATTACACGGGGAGTTACGCTTGCTTTGAGATTTCCGAGTGGATTCCTCGTCTCATGATGCCGATATCAGCAGTACTCGAGATTGAGAAAGACAATTAAAATTCCGTTTATTTAACGGATGATAAATGAGAGGCGGTGAATCTTCATGGGTTGTCTCTGCTGCTTGAATCGAGACTGTGTAAGAGAGGCAGTGAATCTCATTGGGTCCTCTCTACTGGTTAAATAGAGAGTGTTTAAGAGAGGCAGGTACTCTGCTGGTTAAGGAAAGGGCGCGGTTACACCCTATGCTGTGTGTTTGTTTTCACAGATGGCTCTGTTCCCCGATTGCCTAAGGTCCTACCTGGAGCAGCTCATTCCAGAGCGAGGCTGGTGGGATCCCAATGTGTAGGTACCGCACTGAGCTGGGCAGTATGAGTGTGTGTGTGTACCTGTGTGTGCTCACCTGTTTACGTGAGCGTGTGGCTGTGTGTGTGTGAGTGTTCGTGTATGTGTTTATGGGGAGCGGTAGTGTAGTGGTTAGCGAGTTGCGCTATGAACCCGGCGAGCCGAGTTCGATTCCCGCTCACGGCCAACACCAGTGACAATTATCTCAACCGGTCCTGTGCCTCCCCTACATCTCCTCAGCATCCAATGAGTATCTTGTGCGCTGTGTAAAATCATCACTACTCCGGAGACAAAGGCGGTCGGGGGTGGTGCTGGCCACCCACCCTGTTGTGTTTCGTGCCGGCCTTCATAGGTGCTCTTTAATAGCACTTTCCCCAACAGCCTGTTAAGGCTACACGGGGGAGCCGCTATTGGAGTATGGGGGAGTGGAGGAACATTGGGACATGTGGGTGCCTCCCACAATGCCGTGCATGCAGCGTGAGCGTGACGGTGATGTCCTGTGGTTGGTGGTATGGTTGGTTGGTGTGTGGTGGTGTTGTTGGTATGTAATGGTGTGATGCTGTGGTTGGTGTGTGGGAGTGTGGTTGGTTTGTGGAGGTGTGGTTGGTGTGTAGTGGTATGGTTGGTGTGTAGTGGTGTGATTCTGGTTGGTGTGTGGAGGTGTGGTTGGTGTGTGGGGGTGTGGTTGGTGTGTGGGGGTGTGATTCTGGTTGGTGTATGGAGGTGTGATTCTGGTTGGTGTGTGGAGGTGTGATTCTGGTTGGTGTATGGAGGTGTGGTTGGTGTGTGGCGGTGTGGTTGGTGTATGGAGGTGTGGTTGGTGTGTGGCGGTGTGGTTGGTGTGTGGAGGTGTGATTCTGGTTGGTGTGTGGGGGTGTGGTTGGTGTGTGGAGGTGTGATTCTGGTTGGTGTGTGGAGGTGTGATTCTGGTTGGTGTGTGGAGGTGTGATTCTGGTTGGTGTGTGGGGGTGTGGTTGGTGTGTGGAGGTGTGGTTGGTGTGTAGTGGTGTAATTCTGGTTGGTGTGTGGAGGTGTGATTCTGGTTGGTGTGTGGAGGTGTGGTTGGTGTGTGGAGGTGTGATTCTGGTTGGTGTGTGGGGGTGTGGTTGGTGTGTGGAGGTGTGGTTGGTATGTAGTGGTGTAATTCTGGTTGGTGTGTGGAGGTGTGATTCTGGTTGGTGTGTGGCGGTGTGGTTGGTGTGTAGTGGTGTGATTCTGGTTGGGTGTGGAGGTGTGGTTGGTGTGTGGCGGTGTGGTTGGTGTGTAGTGGTGTGATTCTGGTTGGTGTGTGGCGGTGTGGTTGGTGTGTAGTGGTGTAATTCTGGTTGGTGTGTGGAGGTGTGATTCTGGTTGGTGTGTGGGGGTGTGGTTGGTGTGTGGCGGTGTGGTTGGTGTGTAGTGGTGTGATTCTGGTTGGTGTGTGGAGGTGTGATTCTGGTTGGTGTATGGAGGTGTGGTTGGTGTGTAATGGTGTATGTCAGTGTGGTTGGTGTGTAGTGGTGTGACGCTGTGGTTGGTGTGTAGTGGTGTGATTCTGGTTGGCATGTAGTGGTGTGATTCTGGTTGGTGTATGGAGGTGTGGTTGGTGTGTAATGGTGTATGTCAGTGTGGTTGGTGTGTAGTGGTGTGACGCTGTGGTTGGTGTGTGGTGATGTGGTTGGCATGTAGTGGTGTGATTCTGGTTGGTGTGTGGAGGTGTGGTTGGTGTGTGGCGGTGTGACGCTGTGGTTGGTGTGTGGTGGTGTGGTTGGTGTGTAGTGGTGTGACGCTGTGGTTGGTGTGTGGAGGTGTGGTTGGTGTGTGGCGGTGTGGTTGGTGTGTAGTGGTGTGACACTGGTTGGTGTGTGGCAGTGTGATTGGTGTGTGACGCTCTGACGGTGGTTGGTGTGTCATGTTGTAACATGGTTGGTGTGTGACGCTTTCGTTGGTGCGTGGTGGTGTGACGCCAGCGTGTGCAACTTCCTGCTGGAGGAACCGGGCTACCCGCGGGGCCTGGTGCAGGAGCTCGTGCTACTGCCCGAGTCGTCTGTTTTCCTCAGCGAAGAGAAGGAGGTACGTACGTATGTATGTTGTATGTATGTTGTATATATGTTATATGTATGTTGAACTTCTTCTGCACTGTACGTAGCCAACCGTGCTTATCCGAAGTGCGGGGGTAAGGATAAGAAACTAAATACAAAACAAGAGTGTTCCAGACGTCCGCGGAAGCGTATCTGAAAAGCCGCTGCTGTGAGGATGATCGGAGTTCGCGTGACAGTTTATGTTGCTTGACGAGGTTAGTCGCGCTCTCCTCCCACGCTCCCCTCCCGGCTCACTCCTCGGCACACTGTGTGTGCGCACGCTATGCCGTGTGGGCGGGCGATTGGGTGGCGAGTGGTGATGCAGTGGTTAGCGCACCGTGCCACAAACCTGCTAACCTCAGTTCCATTCCTGCTCGGGACCAATAACAGTGGCAAATATATGGATCCTGAGCCTCCTAGGTCGACTCAGCCTTAAATGAGTACCTGGTGAGATGTGAGACAAAGGTGGCCGGGCGTGGTGTTGCCTTGCCGCCCTTCATAGGTGCTCGCTATCAGTACTTGCCCCAACAGCCTGTGGAGGATATTGGAGGATCTTTGTCTTTTGTACGTTGTGTGTGTACACGGGTTGTACGTGCACTATGTGTGTGTGTATACAGGCCGTATATTGTGTGTGTAATATGTACTGTGTGTGTGTACACACAGGCTATGTGCGTGTACTGTGTGTGTACATTGTGTGTACACAGGCTGTGTGAGCGTGCTGCGTATGTGTACTGTGTGTACTACGTGTGTGTACTGTATACATATTGTGTGCATACTACTTGTGCGTACTACGTGTGCGTACTGTGTGCGCACTGCGTGTACTTTGTGTGTTCTGTGTGCGCGTACTGTGTGCGTGTACTACGTGTTTGTTCTGTGTGCGTACTGTATGCGTGTACTACGTGTGTGTACTGTGTGTACTACGTGTGTACTATGTGTGTGTACTGTGTGCGTGTTGTGTGCACACTGTGCGCGTAATATGTGTGTGTTCTGTGTGCGTGCACTGCGTGTGTTACGGTGCGCGTACTGTGTGCGTGTACTACATGTGTGTTCTGTGTGTTGCGTGCATATGCTGTGTGTACTGCGTGTGTGCCGTGCACGTGTACTGCAGTGTGCCGTGCGCGTGTACTGTGTGCGTGCCTACACAGGTTGTGTGCATGTACTGTGTGCGTGTCTACACAGGTTGCGTGCGTGTACTGTGTGCGTGTCTACACAGGTTGCGTGCGTGTACTGTGTGCGTGTCTACACAGGTTGTGTGCGTGTACTGTGTGCGTGTCCGCACAGGTTGTGTGCGTGTACTGTGTGCGTGTCTGCACAGGTTGTGTGCGTGTACTGTGTGCGTGTCCGCACAGGTTGTGTGCGTGTACTGTGTGCGTGTCTACACAGGTTGTGTGCGTGTACTGTGTGCGTGTCCGCACAGGTTGTGTGCGTGTACTGTGTGCGTGTCCGCACAGGTTGTGTGCGTGTACTGTGTGCGTGTCTACACAGGTTGTGTGCGTGCACTGCGCTTGTGCCGTGTGTGTACCGTGCGCGTGTTTACCGTGTGCGTGCGTACGCAGGCGGAGCTGGACTACTTTGACGCGGCGTCGCTGGACAACATGCAGGATGCTGCCTACCAGCTGCAGGCCGTGGAGCTGCTGCGCCATGACTTCCCCGTGCTCATGGTGGTCGACCTGCGCACCACGCTGCGCCGCCTCAAGCACCGCTATGCGCTCACGCGCCTGGTGCGCCGCCCATCAAGCACCCAGCCTGGCACACGTGCACTGCCCACGGGGCACGCACGCGTGCACACCATGCTCACAGCGCTGCCACTGCTGTGTGCCAATGGCAGCTCTTGATGTGTTTTTTGTGTGTACGCGCGTGCACACGTGTGTGTGTGTGCACTAGTGTAGCGATTAGCACGCTGCGCTACGAACCCAGGGACCCCAGTTCAACTCCTGCTCACGGCCACGAAGACCATTGACGATTATCTGAACCGGTCCTGGGGCTCCCCGAGGTCAACTCGGCCTCGAATAAAAACCTGGTGCTTTGTGTAAACATCGCCACTGGGGAGACAGGCGGTCGGGAGTGGTGCTGTCTACCCACCCCCTCGTGTGCCGTGCCGACCATCATAAGGCTACATGGGGGGGCGTCTTTGTCTTTGTGTGTGCAGGTGTTGTCTAAGGCTGTGAAGAGCTGGCTGGACAATGGAGGGAAGTCTCATTCCAGCAGAGGCAAACGGGAGGTCATTCCAGTGTCATTTCACGAAGGTTCGTGTTGAGTGCGAGCATGGGAGTGAGTGTGAGTGGGAACATTATGTTTGAGAGTGTGGACTCGTGTGGATGGGTATCTGTGTGTGTGTGTCTTTGTATCTGCGTTGTGGGGAGCAGTAGTGCAGCGGTTAGCATGCTGTTCCACAAACCCGGCGATCCGAGTTGGATTCCCGCTCACAGCCAACAGCCGTGACGATCATCAACATTGGTCCTGGGCCTCTCCTCGGTGTGGTGTGTAAATATGACCACTAGGGAGACAAAGGCGGCCGGGCGTGGTGTTGGCAACCCCCACCCCCTTGTGTATTGTGTCTTGCCAGGCACATTATCTTGCCAGGCATGCTGAGGAGAAGCTTACGAAGCCCCAATGTGGTTTTGGGCAGTCCTGCACAAATGCCATATTTTCTGTCTGTCTGCTGTAGTAGAGGTGTAGGAAATTCCAGCAGGACCTATATCTCTGCTTTAGTGACCTGGTCAAGTCAAGGCCTATGAGTCGGAGCCATCCCCTGTTCACCTTGGGGTGCGACAGGGATGTCCTCTGGCTCCCACATTATTTAACATATTTTTCGACCACGTAGTTTGTGAAGCCTTCTATGACTCTACTGGAGGAATCTCCATCTGGTACAGATACAATGGGAGGCTGATCGATGCCCAGGTGGAGTCAAGCGTAAGCTCCCTATTGGTCAACCATGCTGATGATCTGGTGATTGCTGCTCACTCAGAGGAGGAGTTGAAGACGCGGCTGCAGAACCTGGAGCGTGCCACTAAGAGGTGGGGCCTTACCATCAGCCCCACCAAAACTAAGCACCTGCCTGGGTATTTTGTGCCATCAAACACTCCACCCCCTCAACTCCCTATTGGTGATGGGGCAGTTGTGGAGAGAGTGGAGAGTTTTCAATACCAGGGCAGTTTGTTCATGACAAGCTCTGGTTTGACAGCAGAGGTCTCGCTCCGAATCAGTCGAGTGGCATTATCTTTTCAACGGCTCCGTGTAACGCAGAGTTTGGTGGGTGTCACACGTGTGTCAGAGGTGCTCCACACAAAGCTTTGGGTCTTCTCAGCCACGGTCATGCCCCCCTTCTCTATGCTTAAGAAACGTGAACCCCCCTAATGGGATATCTTCGCCAGTTCGAAACATATTAGCTGGTCTGCCTACGATCCATCCTGGGTTTAACCAGGCTGGATTGTGTGAGGAGCTCACCAATCCTTGAAAGATCTGGACAAAGTCTCATCGGTGAACTCCTCCGGCAGGCAAGGCTGTGTTCGCTGGGTTATGTAGCCCGCATGGCCAACCACCACATGCCTAAACAGCTATTGTTCGGCCGGATAGAGGAGGCTAAACGGCGTGGCATGTGCTAGAGAAGAGATGGAGTGATGTGGTACAAGAGGATGTGGAGCTGAGTGAACTTCCCAATGACTGGTAACCAACGGTGTCAAGTTCGGCCTCTGGAGGACGCTCGTGACTGGGCAGTTGGAGGCAGTCGCCCTTCAGCAACAACGAAGGGCAGAGGAGCGATGCTCACAACAACGAGCAGGGCGCCGGTTGGCTAAAACACAGCAAATAAGCACAATTGGGGGCACAGGTGGTGTATTGGCCAGTCATCTCAATAAACCTATGGCACCTGGGTCTGTCCCGTGACCTCCTGCCAGCGGGCGTTTGATGCTTCACGTGTCCTTAACGTACACATCGCCTGGGAAAAGCGCCGTGGTAACGTTACCGCCACTTAGTGGTGAATGGAGGTTGTTTTATCTCTGTGTGTCTGTGCGTGTATGTGTGTATCTCTCTGTGTGTGTATGTATCTTCGTGTATCTCTGTGTCTCCATGCATGTGTGTGTATCTCTGTGTGTGTATGTATCTTTGTCTATCTGTGTGTCTCTGTGTGTGTATGTGTGCGCCTGTGTGTGTGTATTTCTCTGTGTGTGTATGTATCTTTGTGTATCGCTGTGTGTCTCCGTGCATGTATGTGTATCTGTGTGTATGTGTATCTCTCTGTGTGTGTATGTATCTTCGTGTATCTCTGTGTGTCTCCATGCGTGTATGTGTATCTCTGTGTGTGTGTGTATCTCTTGTGTGTCTCCGTGCATGTGTGTGCTGACGTGTGCGTCTGTCTCTGTGTGACCCAGGCTCACTGCAGCTGGCGGTGAATCTGCGCATACTGGAGCGCCGTCGCCGCTCGGAGGGATCCGCGAGCCACGTGCAGGAGCCCTTGCACCCCGAGCTGCTCAAGGAGCTCCAGTTTTTTGAGGCTAAGATGCGCCAGCAGAACGAGGTGATGGTGCTGATGGTGCTGATGGTTCTGATGGTGGTAATGAAGCTGATGTTGGCTGTGGTGCTGAAAGTGGCAGTGGTGCTGGTAGTGATAGTGAAGGTGGTGCCGGTTATGGTGGTGATGGGGATGTTGTTGATGGTGGTAATATGATAGTACTGTGCCGCTAGCACTCGTGGTGATTGATGGTGGTGGTAGTGGTGATGTTGCTGATGGTGGCAGTGACGATGATTGTGGTGGCACGCTAGTGATGGTCGTGTTGCTGGAGATGTTGACGCTGGTGGCGGTGATGCTGGTGATATTAGTGATTGTATGGTAGTCCTGTGCTGCTACCACACATCATGATTGATGGTAGTGGTAGTCGTGATGTTGGCAGTGACGATGATGGTGGTGGGGCGCTAGTGATGGTAGCGATGCTCGTCATTATGCATCTGGTGGCAGTGATGGTGGTGATGATGGTGATGTTATGATAGTCTTGTGCTGCTGGAACTAGTGGCGATTGATGGTGATGGCATTGATGTTGACGATGGTATAAATGGCCTGTGCTGCTGGAACTAGTGGCGATTGATGGTGATGGCATTGATGTTGACGATGGTATAAATGGCCTGTGCTGCTGGAACTTGTGGCGATTGATGGTCATGACAGTGCAGGTGGTGATATTGGCGATGTTATGACAGTCCTGTGCCGCGAGCACTTGTGGTGATTGATAGTGGCAGTGACGATGATGATGGTGGTGATTGTGGCGCTGGTGATGGTGTCGTGATGCTTGTGATGGTGAAGCTGGTGCCGGTTATGATGGTGATGTCAGTGATGATAGTCCTGTGATCACCATCAATCACCGCTCGTGGCGATTGATGGTGATGGCGGTGCTGCCACCACCATCGCCACCATTGCCGCCATTCGGCCTTACAACGAGCGCCTAGCGCGGCAGTGTGCGACACAGCGGACTCCGCCGGGGAGACTAAAGCTCGGTCAGGGGAGGCGTGGTCCTGGCCATACCGCGCCGGCTCGTACGGTATTCCGCTGACTCCAAGGGGGCGCTACTTCTTTGTGTGTGTGTGTGGGCAGCACGCAGACCTGCAGCTGGCGATGCGCGTCAACGAGCAGCAGTACAAGGAGGAGCAGCAGGCCATCGAGTGCGGCTGCTGCTTCGCGGCGGTGCCTTTTGAGGAGATGACCCAGTGCCTAGACGGACATCTCTTCTGCAAGGACTGCCTCGTCCGATACGCACAGGAGGCCGTCTACGGGCAGGCCGGGGTGAGAGCACGGAGACTGCGCAGACGCGGTGCCTCTGCGTGTCCGTTCGTGTCCGTTGCGTGTCCTCGTGATCCCCGTGTGATCCGGTCTGTCCTTGTGAGTCCCCACATTTCCCTGTGTCTCTCCGTGTCTTACCATGTATCTCCCTGTGTCTAACTCACCATGTTTCCCTGTGCCCACCCCATGTCTCACCGTGTGTCCCTATATCTCCCTATGTCTCGCTCACCGTGTCTCCCTATATCTTGCCGTCCCTTCCCTGTGTCTCCCGGTGTCTCACTCATTTTGCTCCCCCGTGTCTCCCTGTGTCTCACTCCCCGTGTCTAACTGGCCATGTCTCCTTGTGTCCCCCCATGTCTCCTCGTGTCTCCACACTTGTGTAGGCCCAGCTGCAGTGCATGGTGTCCGGCTGTGAGGAGGGCTTCCCGCAAAGCGAGCTGCAGAAGACGCTATCCCAGAAGATTCTGCTCAAGCTGAGCGAGCGCCAGGCCGAGCAGGACGTGAGCTCCGCACTCCGTGATGAGCTGCTCCGGTGAGACCTCACCCGCCCGCACGCTCGCTCACCCCCCTGCCTGCTCACCTGCCCACTCGCCCGCTGTCTCGCTGGCTCGCCCGCTCGCTCACCGGCTCGTCTGCTCCCTTACCGGTTCACCCTCTCGCTCACCGGCTCGCCTGCTCTATCACCGACTCGCTCGCTCGCTCACCAGCTCTCCTGCTCGCTCGCTTATTTCACCCTCTCTCAGTGGTTACCTACTCTCTCACCCGCTGGCTCACCCATGTGCTCACTTGTTGACTCGCCCACTCTCGCCCCCTGGCTCACCCACCCGCCCGCTCACTTACTTCCTCACTCCCCCACCCACCCACTTTCTCGCCTGCTATCCGTGTGTGCTAGGTGTCCGTTCTGTGACTTTGCGGCGATGTTGGAACAGAACTCCATCGTGTTCGTGTGTCCCAACCCTCGCTGCAAGAAGGTGATGCACGCACACACACGCTTACACACACGCGCATAAGAATACATGCATACACACACACGCACAGGCATACATGCATACACACGCACACGCACACGCACACACACACGCACACACATACACGCACACATACAAATGCACACGCACACACTCATAAACACACGTACATGGGGTTGCGGTGGCGGTAGATATTGTGGTGGTATTGACTGGTGGTGGTGGTAACCGTGGTGGTGATAGTGGTGAGCATGATAATGGTGGTGGTGAAGGTGGTGAGCCTAGCGGTGAGTAGTGCCATGGGGGGAGGGCAAATTTTGGTTGGCCATTCCCCTCAAGGCGTTTGTAGCCACCACAGCAGCCAAAGGGGACTGGACGGCTGCGAGGGGCTGGTAACTCCTCCAAAAACTGCAAAAAGCCACTGCGGGTGGCTATGTGGAATGTTCGAAAGCTCACTGCGGAGGTGAGGCTGCCACTCCTCTGTCGGGAGCTGGACCGGTACCGCCTGGATCTCTGTGGTATTCAGGAGGTCCGGTGGACCGGCTCTGGCTCCTGCCACCATGAGAGGTGGACAGTCCTCTACTCGGGGCAGGAGACTGCCGAACAACAGGGAGTGGCTCTTCTTCTCAAAAATAGAATGAAGGGGGTGTGAGACCGTTGCGGTGTGGTGTGGGAAGCTGTAAGCCCCAGGCTACTTTCGACTCGCCTTCCCATCAACCAGAGGCGAGGAGTGGTGGTTGTGGTAACTTATGCCCCCACCGAAGATGAACCTCACTGGAGGGATGCAGGCACGGCCGATGAGTCAGATGCCTTCTATGACCTGTCATAGATGCTAGCTAAATTGGCCGCTCGGGATAGAGTCATCTTGTTGGGTGACTTGAATGCCCGAGTTGGTTATGATGCTGGCACCTGGTCTGGAGTGATTAGAAGGCATGGGCCAGATCAGCTCAATAACAGCGGTAGGATGCTGCTAGATTTTTGTGCAGCCCATGGGCTTGTAATTACCAATACGCTGTTCCGGCATCGGCACATGCACACAACCTCATGGATGCACGCCGGGTCAAAGCAAGAACATCTGCTCGACTACATCGTGACAGAACAGCGGATGCGGGCCCATGTCCTTGACACCAGGACCTACCGTGGAGCTGATCTGCACACTGACCATCGACTTGTCATCTGTAAGATGCGCCTGTCGTTCTTCCACTCCGATGGTGAGTGTACACCCAGGACCCCATTCAAACCCAATGTACCCTGGTCTCAGCTCGCTGATGAAAGTTGCACGCGAGAATTTATTCATCGCTTGCGGCTGGGGTTGGCATCGTCCCCCACTCCTGATGTCGAGGGGAAATGGGTGAGGTTTCGGACTGTGTTTCATGCAGCTGCAATGGTTGCGTTGGGTGCACGGTCCAGACCTCCCCAGAGACCCTGGCTGACAGGAGGTGTTCAGGCTGCCTTAGAAAAAGCGACAGGCCCACTCTCATCGTCTCCAGCATCCCACGTCAGAGAATGAGGAGGCTTACCCGGAGTCTTTGCTCGGAGGTTCAGATAGCCGTGAGGTGCTGGATGGGTGGTGGTCGCGGGTTGCTGAGGAGATCTGCCTCAGTGGCCCGCGATTACAAATCGCTCAGCGCCACACCTATTACCATCATTAGGGGAAAAAACGGTGATCCAATCTCTGACCCCCATGAACAGGTTGGCAGATTTGCTGAGCATTTCTGTAAGGTCCTTGGGGAGGGGAAATCCCTCAGCCTGGAAAACATTGTGGGACAAAGTGGGGGGATGACCCTGCTGAGGCTGCAGTGCCTCAAATATTGGAAGAAGAAGTCACCCTCTGCGAGTGGCTGGCTGAGGTGCCATCTGTAAAAGAAGTATTGAAGGTGATCCAGAGTCTGAGACCAGGAAAGGCACCGGGCAGAGATGATCTCCCAAGTGAATGCTGAGGGAGGGTGGTGTTTGTGCACAGACTGCCCTACAAGACATCATAATAACAGTCTGGACCACTGGACGGGTTCCACAGGATTGGAAGGATGCCCTGGTGGTCCCCTCTTTAAGAAGGAGGACCGCACACACTGTAACAACTACAGGGGCATCTCACTCCTCAATGTGCCGGGAAATGTCCTGGCAAGGATTATTCAACATTGCCTTGCCAGGCACGCTGAGGAGAGGCTTGCGGAGCCCCAATATGGTTTCAGGAAAGGGCGATCCTGTACAGATGCCATATTTTCTGTCCGTCTGCTACAGCAGAGATGTAGGGAATTCCAACAAGACCTACATCTCTGCTTTATTGACCTGGTCAAGGCCTATGATACCATCAGTAGGCCTGGGCTTTGGGTTGTTCTTCGTGCTTTTGGAGTCACTGACTCTTTACTCACAATCATTAAGGACCTTCATGATGGTGAGCGGGCCCGGATAAAACTACCGGGCCGGGAGTTGGAGCCATAGCCTGTTCACCTTGGGGTGTGACAAGGCTGTCCTCTGGCTCCCACATTATTTAATATCTATTTAGACCACATAGTTTGCGAAGCCTTCGATGGTTGTACCAGTGAAATTTCCATCTCGTACAGATACAATGGAAAGCTGAACGATGCGCGGGTGCGGTCAAGAAATAGCTCCCTATTGGTCAACCATGTTATGTATGCCGATAATCTGGTAATAGCTGCTCACTCAGAGGAGAAGTTGGAGGCACTGCTGTTGAACCTGGAGCGTGCCACTAAGAGGTGGGGCCTTACCATCAGCCCCTCCAAAACTAAGCACCTGCCTGGGTATTTTATACCAGCAGACACTCCACCCCCACAACTCCCAATTGGTGATGCGGCAGTTGTGGAAAGAGTGGAGAGTTTTCCATACCTGGGCAGCAGAGGTCTCACTGCAAATTAGTCGTGCGGCATTATCTTTTCATCGGTTACGTAACGCTGTGTGAAAGCTTCCTTGTCCGTCGCTCCGCACGAAGCTTCGGGTCTTCTCGGTCACAGTCATTCCCTCCCTTCTCTACGCTTGCGAAACGTGGACCCCCCTGGTGGAACATCTTCGCCGGTTAGAAACATTTAGGCTGGCCTGCCTACGATCAATCCTGGGTTTAACCAGGCTGGATTGTGTGAGGAGCTCACAAATCCTCGAATGATCTGGACAAAGTTCCATCAGTGAGCACCTCCGGCAGCCAAGGCTGCGTTGGCTGTGCCATGTAGCCCGCCTGCCCAATCACCGCATGCCAAAACAGCTTTTGTTCGGCTGGATCGAAGGGGCTAAACGGGCGCGGCACGGGCTAGAGAAGAGATGGAGTGACGTGGCACAGGAGGATGTGGTCCTGAGTGGACATACCGATGACTGGTACCAGCGGTGTCAAGATCGGCCTCTGGAGAAGGCTCGTGAAGGATGCTACTGGGTAGTTGGAGGCAGTCGCCCTCCAACAACAGAAGGCGGAGGAGCGACGCTCACTACAATGAGCAGAGCGCCGGGTGGCTAAAGCACAGCAAGTTGGCACAGTAGGGGGCACAGGTGGTGCATCAGCCAGTCATCTCGGTCATCTCAGTCAGTCGACCCGTAGCACCTGGGTCTTCCCCGTGACCTCCTGCCAGCGGGCGTTCGACACTTCACGTGGCCTCAAGGTGCACATTGCCTGGCACAAGCGTCATGGTGACGTCACCGCCACTTAGTGGCGAACGGCGGTTGTTGTTGTTGTGTGTGTGACACTATTCCCTGCGTGTGTGTCACAGTCTTCTTGCAGGAAGTGCCGTGAGGACTGGAAGGATCATGCTGGGCTCACTTGCGAGGAGGTGGAGTCTCAGTCTCAAGTCAAGTTCCGCATTAGCATGTAGGTGTGGGTGGTGAGTGTGCGTGGTGAGGGTGGTGTGCTGTAGTCTTATCAGTGTAGTGCTTGGAAATGTGGTGCGGTTGCCTGTGATGTGGTCGACCGCTGCGGTTTCCCTCCCGCCTGCCCCGCAGGGAGGAGCGCATGTCGGCGGCGCGCATCAGGAAGTGTCCGCGCTGCGGCACGGCGCTGCTCAAGTCTGAGGGCTGCAACAAGCTGAGCTGCCGCTGCGGGGGCACCATGTGCAACGTGTGTCGCACGCCCAACATCGGCTACGACCACTTCTGCCAGCATCCGCTCATCCCCGGGCAGCCCTGCCCACATTGCACCGCCTGCCTGCTCTGGGTAGACCCCGAGGTGTGTGTCACTTGTGTGTTTGTGTGTCACTGTGTGTTACTGTGTGTGTCACTGTGTGTCACTGTGCTGAGGGGAAATGGGCGAGGTTTAGGACTGTGGCTGATGCAGCTGCAATGGCTGCGGTATGGTACACGGTCCAAACCTTCCTGGAGACCCTGGCTGACGGAGGAAGTGTTCTGACTGGCTGAGAAAAAGCGACAGGCCCACTCGCACGGTCTCATGCATCACACATCGAAGATGAGGACGCTGAACGCAGCCTTTGCTCGGAGGCCGGAGAGCCGTGCGGCGCTGCCAGGATGGGTGGTGGTCACGGGTTGCTGAGGAGATGGAGTCTCTCTCAGTGGCCCACAATCACAAATAGTTATTTAACTCCATTAAGAAAGTAGCTTGCAGCGCCACACCTATCACTATCATTAGGGGAAAGAAAGGGGATTCGATTTCCAACCCCTAGGAACAGGTTTGCAGATTTGTTGAGCATTACTGTGAGGTCTTGGGGGAGGGGAAATCCCTCGGCCTCGAAAACATAAAGAAAAGTCCGGATGACCCTGCTGAGGTGATGGTGCCTCAAATTTTGGAATAAATAGTCACCCCCTGTGAGTGGCTGGCTGAAGTGCCATCTGTTGAGGAAGTACGGAAGGCGATCCAAAGTCTGAAACCAGGAAAAGCGCTAGGCAGAGATGATCTCCCAAGTGAAATGCTGAGGGAGGGTGATTTTTGTGTGCAGACTGCCCTATATGACATCATAATAACAGTCTGGACCACTGGACGGATTCCATAGTTTTGGAATGATGCTCTGGTGGTCCCCCTCTTTAAGAAGGGGGACCGCAAATACTGTAACAACTGCAGGGGCATCTCCCTCCTCAGTGTGCCGGGAAAGGTCCTGGCAAGGATTATTCAACATCGCCTTGCCAGGCACGCTGATGAGAGGCTTGTGGTTTCAGGCCAGGGCAGTCCTGTACAGATGCCATATTTTCTGTCCATCTGCTACAGCAGAGGTGTAGGAAATTCCAACAGGATATACATCTCTTCTTTATTGACCAGGTCAAGGCCTATGATACCATCGGTAGGCCTGGGCTCTTAGTTGTTCTTTATGCTTTCCGAGTCCCAGGCTCTCTGCCCACAATCATTAAGGACCTTCATGGTGGTGGGCAGGCCCGGGTAAAACTATGTTGCCGGAGAGTCGGAGCCATTCCCTGTTCACCTTGGGGTGCGACAGGGATGTCCTCTGGCTCACACATTAAAAAAAAATGTTACCACATCGATTGTGAAGCCTTCTATGGCTGTACCGGAGGAATCTCCATCTGGTACAGATACAATGGGAGGCTGATCGATGCCCGGGTGCAGTCAAGCGTATTGGTCAACCATGCTGATGATCTGGTGATTGCTGCTCACTCAGAGGAGGAGTTGGAGGCGCGGCTGCAGAATCTGGAGCGTGCCTCTAAGAGCCTTACCATCAGCCCCACCAAAACTAAACACCTGCCTGGGTATTTTGTGCCATCAAACACTCCACCCCCTCAACTCCCCATTTGTGATGGGGCAGTTGTGGAGAGAGTGGAGAGTTTTCCATACCTGGGCAGTGTGTTCATGATAAGCTCTGGTATGAAAGCAGAGGTCTCACTCTGAATCAGTCGAGCACCATTATCTTTTCATCAGCTGCGTAAACTGTTTGGAAGCTACCTGGCCTGTCGCTCCACACGAAGCTTCAGGTCTTCTTGGCCACAATCATGGCCCCCTTCTCTACGCTTGCGAAACGTGGACCCCCCCAATAGAACATCTTCGCAGGTTAGAAACATTTAGGCTGGCCGGCCTACAATCCATCCTGGATTTAACCAGGCTGGATTGTGTGAGGAGCTCACAAATCCTTGAAAGTTCTGGACAATGTCCCATTGGTGAACTCCTCCGCACTGATAACAATGAGCACTCAGTATGCATGCGAGAGAACACGATGGGACAGAAGATGGCGGCACATGCGTGAGTTGTACAGTACTTCTACACCCCTCCCCCCCCCCCTCAGAGCCGCGTTCAGCTGAGCCGTGTCCAAAACAATAATCGTCACTGGTGTTGGTCGTGAGCGGGAATAGAAGTTAGATCGCCGGGCTCGTAGCGCAGTGCGCTAACCGCTACGCACCCACACACAATGTTTCATACTCGGTTCAGTTGAGTAGTAAAACGACGTATGTGTAGGGACATTTTACATTGAGTTCCTCTCAAGTCAGCGACGTGAGTGTGAAGCAACGTTTATTGGGGACCCCCTGTACCTAGTTGCGGTGTGTAAAAACATTGCCACTAGAGAGACAAAGGCGACCGGAACTGGTGCTGGCTGTTCCGGCCTTCATAGGTGTTCACTCACAGCACTAGCCCCAACAGTCTGTTTAGGCTATATGGGAGATCTTTATCTTTGTCACCCATGGCGCTTGGGTCTGCTCATGACCTGTCAGCAGACGTTCAACACTTCACGTAGCTTTTAAAGTGCACCTGGCCTGGCACAAGCGCCGTGGTGACGTCACTTCCACTTGGTGACCAATGGTGGTTGTTGTATGTCACTGTGTAGGTGTGTCATTGGGGAACGGTAGCGTAGTGGTTAGTGCTGTGCTACGAACCCGACGATCCGAGTTTGATTCTCAATCACGGCCAACACCAGTGACAATTATCTGAACCGGTTCTGGACCTCTCCTAGGTTGACTCAATCTCAAATGAGTACCTGGTGTGCTGTGTAAACATCACCCCCTCATGTGCCGTGGTAGCTACTCGCTAACACCACTCCAACAGCCTGTTAAAGGCTGCACAGGAGATCTTTGTCACTGTGTGTGATGGTGTCACTGCTGTTCCACGCCCTTCACATGTATGAGAGTCTTGTGTGCGTGTCAACCACTGTGTGAGTGTGACACACATTGTGAGTGTGTCACAGTGGTTGTGTGTGTTTAATTCTAGATTTGAAGCTTTCGTGACTGCAAGGATTCATACTCTAGGTTTTTTCAGTAAGTCATGTAGGTAAAAAAAAAAATTACTAAAAGTGATTTATTATTTTATTTTATTTCTATTATTACGTTTAGTAATTTCTAATTTTTTTATTTTATTTTTTTTACCTACGTGACTTTACCGAAAAAACCTAAGAGTATGAATCTCTTGTGTGTGTAACCACGTGCCACTAACCCCTTCTTCCCCTGTGTGCCACCACAGAAGGAGGACGATCAGCTGATTGAGCGCATCCAGACGGAGGCGCACGTGGTGTCCGGCGAGGCTGCAAAGCGGATTGGGCCGCCCCTTGATCCTGACGAGCCAAAACAGCGGCGAGTCGACAATGTGAGGGCAACAACCACATTCCGCAACAGCAACAATCACCGTACATTCACTGTGCAATTTACACACACACACTGTTGCGGTGTGTGTGCGTTAACCGTACAGTCACCGTGCGCCATCAGAGACGTTAGAGATCCCCTGATGTTGCTCGAAAGAGTCGGCCATTGTGTAGCCACCGGCGTCGCTGGTCCACATTAATCTAAACAATGTTTTAATGAATGCGAAAAATTACTCCTTTGGGATCACACAAAACAGCAGCAGCGACAATCATCAGCCCCCTGTTGTAATCTAAACAGGGGAGCCCCATTCACATCCTAACCACAGCCCTAACCCCATACCTCTCTCTCCCTACGCATCTTTCTACAACCCGTGTGTGCTCAACAGCAGCAGCAGCAGCCACGCCACCGACACCACCACCACTTCGGTCATCATCAGCACCATCCACAGCCGCAGCAGCAGCACCGACATCACCACCACCACTTCGGTCATCAGCAGCACCACCAACCCTATCACCACTTTGAACATTATCAGGACCATCCACAGCCGCAGCAGCCGCAGCGGCAGCACCACCTCCCCCTGCCACACCAGCTGCCCTGGATGGCGCAGCCCTGGATGGCTGAGCGAGTTGCCGATCATCATGCGGAGCGCATACAGTACCTGCAGCACCAGCAGCAGCAACAACAGCAGCAGCAGCAGCTGTTGCTGCAACAGCAGCAGCAGCGGATGTTGCTGCAGCAGCATCTGCAGCAGCATCTGCAGCAGCAGCATCAGCAGCGTCAACAGCAGCTGGCCATGAGGGATATGGGTGAGCACGGCCTCATCCCAAGGCCTCCGCCAGACTACAGAGAACAACGCTGATCAATCGGCGGTGATCGTCAATTGTGAACAACGTTGATCAATCGGCGGTGATCGTCAATTGTGAACAACGTTGATCAAATCTGTGTCGATCGCCGACCGATCATAACGACCTGTAACATCACTTTCATTGTCCTTGTTACTGCATAACGACCATGGATGGGAACAAAGAGTCATCACCGCCACGTCATCGTCATGATCACCGCCATCATTACCGAGTAATTGGCAGCATCATCATTGTCTCTGTGATTGTTTTTGAGGAATGATTAATGAGAACCAGTTCTGTAATCGGCTTCATTATTTAGTAGATCTATTGTACCTCGTTAACCCATGATTATGGAAGTGTCGCCATCGTCATCACCATTGATCTTCCATCAGTGGTGGCTATCCACGTGGCCTGTAACCCAGCGCTGTGGAGGCAGCAGAGAGGGCTGGTGGATCACACGGCAGACGCTGCTGTAAAACTCCCTTCCCGTGGGCGTCGAGGAGGTGCGATACCCCTGGCTCTGCCGGGAGAAGGCAGTACAGCAAATCTGGACTCCACCTGTGCCATCTGTATGGGGATAGAGCGTTTCCCCCTCACAAGCGTGGGTTTCTCTGGGTGGTCTGGTTGCCTCGTACGTGTCTATTAATTGCCCGATGGCATGTTAATATATATATGGAGGACTGCAGAGCCTGGGTCATTGCTTGAGCCGGCTCAGCTACCTGGTTGCTTCCACTGCTGCTGCCTTCCCACTTGTCGGTGGTTCCTGCTAGCATGCCGGAGATCATCTTTGCCACTATCGTCATCATCATCTCGATTGTTGTTATCATCTCCATCACTGTTCGTGTCATCGCTACCACCATCGCCATCATCACCGTCACCTTCGTCATGGCCATTATCGTCACCATCATCATCATCACCACCATCCTCATCATCACCATCATCATCATGGCCATTATCATTGCCATACAAAGCTGCCTTTACTAATGGGTGTGTCTGCTGCAGCTCCTGTTGCTGTGTATTTGAGTAAAGTGAATGTGGGAGGACTGATGCCATATCTACACACACCACACTCCCCACGCAACCACACTGACCAACAACCACACGAATCGCACTAACCACCAACAACACATTCATACTACGCGATATACACCAACCACACATCCATACTAACCATGTATGTGTGTACGGTGAAATTATTTCGCACCGTACGTAGCCAACCGTGCTTATTGGAGATGCGGGGAAGGACAAAAAACTAAACACAAAAACCACACCCACGCTATCAACACCACGATACCACACTAACCAAACTATCCGTACCACGCTATACACACCACGATGTACCAGATCACCCACACCACTCACACTACCTGTACCACACCACTCGCATACCTCTACAATTCACACCGCTCACCATACACCACACTTACCACTCCAACATAATTACTATGCAATTCACATCACACAACAGCACACCGTTCACCCCGTAACACACCACAATAACCACACACCACGCACCAAGAACACACGCACATTCGTCAACTACTCGGCTACAATTCCAAGTTCAATTCCAGGCCATAACTCCCATAGCACCCCCCCACCCCTTTCCCCCACCCCCTGTGCCTCCCCTAGGTCGACTCGGCCAAAAATTATTATCGACGCGTTTTGTGGAGGTGGTGTTAGGGTGTAGGGTGCTCAACAGCCCTGCGAGTGAGACAAAGACGGCCGGGCGCATGGTACCGGTCACACCACCAACCCTCCCCTTCCACATGCACCAGCGCCGCCGGCCTTACTAGGTGCTCGCAAACAGCCCCTGCCACGGCCTTCCCTGTGCAGGGGTGCGAGGTGTGGATGCTTCGGGGAAGTCTGCGTGTGTGTGTGGTGTGTTTTTATATCTTGCACTTGGGAGACTTGTTCTTGCTGTTGTTGAAGTAGACTGAAGACTGGAGGGGCCTCGCTGTGTGGGTGTCGAGGGAGACCCTGAGGTCTGGAAGGATCCACTTGTTCCTTGTCATCGTTCTTGATGTAAATTCCAAATAAAATTTTTGCATTGTTGGCATAAGGCGGGCATGCAGAGTGGGACTGGGCTCGCCCCGGAAGCCCACTGCGGTAAAGTGCGGTCGTGGGAATGGCCTTCATCCAGCAGGGAGATTGACCAGGCTGTGAATTAAACTATTGATGACTGTACTGTATATGAAGCATGAGCAGACCCCCCCCCCCACCGTGTTCACATTGCGAAGGGAAGTTCTGCCTCCCAGGGCAGTGTTCTTCACTCATGTTCAGAGCGGGTCCACTTTCGATGATGGGTGGGGGATGTTTTCACTTTTTGTGGATTGTCGGGGGGACCGCATTTAAGGGTGCCGCCAGTGGCCCCCTCGAGGCCTTGCAATGAAGAAGAATGACTTTGGGTGTCGTCAGCAAGAATAGTTCATCATAATCCGTTTTTTTGCGGGGGGGGAGGAGTAGGGGAGAGGCTTAGGCCACAGTGATTTTGGCCAAACTTGTGTCGTGAGGCCCTTCACCGCTGGGCACCCGAACAACAGCCAAACAAACTGGCGTGGCGTGCATTTTAACGTGTATTACGTTTCTGCTCAACTCGCATGGTGGGTTGGAGAGAGACTCTCTTACAGTCGAATCGAGCAGCGATCGGATCACGCGACTTCTCACTTGAGCGTGCGTCAAAGCATCCTGAGGACAAGATCCAGGGATTAAGATTCAGGGCGCCGTGGTGGCAAGATGTTGACTACCTCGCCTGATGTACAGGAGGTCATGGCTTTGATCCCGACCCTGACGCCTGCTGTATATTTGGGAGTTTGCGTGTCTCTCTCCCCGTGGTTGTGGATTTTTCTCCGGATCCTCTGGGTTTCCCTCCACATTTAGAAACATGCGTTTCGAGTATTTGGCTATTGCCATAAATGTCCACGTGATAAGCCACTTCGTTGAGCTGTCATTTGAAGACTTTCCATTTGTTGACGTGGAAAGGCGGAATTGTGAAGGAGAGACATCCACTGGTCCACTTGGTTCACAAGGACGTGAGTTACTGTTGTCTATTGTAGTGTACCACGGGTTGTACTGCTGTAGTGTAGCACGGGTTGTAGTGTAGCACGGGTCCTAGTGTAGCACGGGTCCTAGTGTAGCACGGGTCCTAGTGCAGCACGGGTCCTAGTGCAGCACGGGTCCTCGTGCAGCACGGGTCCTAGTGCAGCACGGGTCCTAGAGCAGCACGGGTCGTAGTGCAGCACGGGTCCTAGTGCAGCACGGATCCTTGTGCAGCACGGGTCCTAGTGCAGCACGGGTCCTAGTGCAGCACGGGTCCTAGTGCAGCACGGGTTCTTTTGACTATTTTTATTTCACCAGGTCAGACTCGCTGAGCTGCGTAGCTCTTTTTCAGAAGCGACCTGGCCAGCATGAATGACGGCTCCACGAAGTGGCTTATCACGTGGACATCTATAGCAATAGCCAAATACTCTAAACGCGTCCCGGTCGCGATTGAAGCCATGACATCTTGTATACCAGGCGAGGTAGTCAACAGCTAGCCACCATGGTTGTAGTGCAGCACGGGTTGTAGTGTGGTGTAGCACGGGCTCTACTATTATAATGTAGTACGGGTTGTACTGTTATAATGCCGCACGGGTTGTAGTGTAGTAGTGCAAGATCTAATGAGACTACGCTGTTTCTGCTGCGGGATACGATGGCCTGTGCCCTGAAATTCTCACGAACATTTCCTCGATTTACGAACTCGCAATTTTCGCTTTTTACGAAATTTTAATTGTGCGCCATAAACATAGACTTTTTGCGTCCGTGTATCTGCGCCTTACTCAGCCCGCGTGGCCGCGTATCTTCTGCCCGGTCTGTATCACGGTTGTTCGCGTGCACACCATAAGGGGTCGGGATCTATTGATTCACTTCAAGTTCCCTTCAATGTGAGCAGTAGGTGTAAATCAACATCGCCGGCTATTATCTCCAGCAAAGGAAATCGTAGGCAAGCTCTGAGCGTGGGTCACGTAGCTGGAACATCGCGAAGAGGCAGGAGAGAGGAATAACTTGATGCACGCTGTCCTCTCGGCTGAGCTGCATCAAGTGATGAAACTTCGCCCCCATCACAACTCTTCGTTCTTGTTTCAGGCCTCGTACGCCAGTAACTCCCGAAAACCCCGCCACCAAAACCCCAACCATCACCCATCGTCTACGCCACAAACTCCCATCGCCCCGCCAAGAATCCTAGCCAGCACCAGGAGGTCGCCAGTAACCTGACACTCGTCATCCCCCCACTCATCTCAACACGCTGAGCTGCCGGTAATAATCATGAGGTTAGTTAAATTAAATGGCGGCTTGCCATTCTTTTCCACCTCCATGTGTCCGCTGCGCTGTCCGAGCTCTCGCCGAGCTTCAAATTTCTGACATTGACGACATTCTAATCTCTCTCGGTACAATGGCCACCCCCACAGCTCCATACTACCTCTCCCACATTGGCATTAGCTGCCCCTCCCATCTCTAAACGTTTGTTGACGAGTTCCCACGGACGCACTTGGAGACGGAGGTAAGTTATGGGCTTTTGCCAAGGGTTTATTCAAAGTTAACAATAACACACAAGGGTAGACAACTCCCAGGGGCTAGGAGTCCTACACAGAGTCCTGGTCCCTGCCGGCTAGCTCCGGTCTCTCGTGTCGGATCGGGAACTCTGCCGACTTCACCGACCGGAGAGAGAAGCACCTCTACGGCTGCCACTGGCTTCTCCCCAGACTCACTACTCCATCCCTCTACCCCTGGTCCCTCATCACCCTTCGTACTCTATCCGTTCCCACGGTGACCCCGCTTTCGTCACGGGGTCTCCCTTAAGTACTCTCGGAGACGTGACGTCATCGCACTAAACGGCACACATGACGTCACGTCCCCATTTTACTTCTCTACACCTTTAAACAGCCTGCCTCCGCAGATTTCCCTTTTTTTCACCTGAAGATGATTGCTTGTGTTGCGATCGAAACGTCGTGATATTGTTATTATTTTTTCTATCTACGTGGCTTCACCGAAAGACCCAAATAATATTAATTATTACAGTCATGGACTGTTAATAACGATGACGTTTTCATGATTGTAAAAGGAGAATATAATTTACATATTATCTTGCGCTATGAGAACGCATCCTTCATTTCACCTTTAAAAAAACGGGATTTTTTTTTGTAAATGAATTTTCGAACGCATCCTATTCGTGAACCGAGGAATGCTGTTCATGGGCATCGATGGCTTGAAAACCTGTACACCATCCATATACAGCACGTGGAAAATCCCGAAAGCATACAGGCCAAAGTCATCGTCATTCTGAAGGACAGAAAGCCGCAAGATTCCAGCTACAGGGCCACGACTCCTCGTGTCCCTCACCTCCCAGCTGACGGACCGTGCCGTGCCTGCCACACTCGCCCCCCCCCCCTCCCCATTATGGACCCCCAACTGCCTCCCGCACGAGCCGGATTCCGAACCGGCCGTAGTAGCTGCTGCTGATGCAAACAAATCGGTGCCTTCACCACCCTCATCGAAGCTGTTGGTGTCCAGCGTCTTCTTTTTCTTCACCTGTAAATGTCATTGTGTGTGTGTGCGGCCCAAACTTGCGAAGGATTTGGCTCGCAAATTATAGACTGTCTGTACTTCCTCAACCGCCTTACTACAGTACAATTAAAAACAACAGTAATAAAGACTACAGAACAATTACTTACATCTTTTTATACCATTGACCATTTACTTATGACTCGTAGCATTCAATACAATACAAAGGCATATCATACAAGTTAAGTATGACCTTCACCTTTGATTACAGTGTGCTGATCCTCAAAGGTGCATTAACAATTGTTTGCATTTTTTCTCTTCATTGGTTTTTTCCCTAACATTATGTACATATAAAACTAATCTTAACAAACTGAGTTGGTAAATAGAAAAGTTCAAATGTTTGCATGTAAATCCATGTGTGTGTACGTCGATGTGTGTGTCAATCGCTATGTGTGTGTGTCAGTCGATGTGTGTGTTTGAGTCGATGTGTGTGTTTGAGTCCATATGTGTGTGTGTCTTTTCGCCCGGGCAACGCCGGGTACTTCCCGCTAGTATGTTATATAGATTTATATAGCGCCTTATGCGAAGGCGCTTTGCAACGATGATAAAATTGTACGTAAGATGTTAGTGGTTGAGATAAATAGCGGGGTTATTAAAAGTTGTGAAGTTATGGTGATGGGAGAACAGACGGGAGTGGTTAAGGAGGGGTTAGGGTAGTGATGGGTGTAGTGATAGAGGTTGGAGTGGTGATAGAGGTTGGAGTGGTGATAGGGGTTGGGTTAATGATAGGGTTGGGGTAGTGAGAGTGGTTGGGGTAGTGATAGGGGTAGGGTAGTGATAGGGGTTGGGGTAGTAATAGGGGTTGGGGTAGTGATAGGGGTTGGGGTAGTGGTAGGGGTTGGGGTAGTGACAGGGGTTGGGTAGTGACAGGGGTTGAGGTAGTTATAGGGGTTGGGGTAGTGATAGGGGTTGGGGTAGTGATAGGGGTTGGGGTAGTGATAGGGGTTGGGGTAGTGATAGGGGTTGGGGTAGTGATAGAGATTGGGGTAGGGACGGGTTGGGGTCGTGATAAGGGTTGGGGTAGTGATCGGGGTGTAATAAAAGACTTCGTCAGGCACTGCTGGTCTCCGTTGCTCTTTTATTTAGTTTCCTTCTCGCACCCCGCTGGTCCTGACAATAGACCAGCATCTCCTCGCGCGCGCCCTGTGCCCGCTCCTCCGTCAGCTCCTCCGCTCCCCCACTCCGCACACCCCTGGCCGACGGTGTGCCGAAGCCCCATCAGCCACGTGGCTGATGGCGCGGCGGCCACCCAACGTGGTCCCGCTTCACTCCAACAACTGACCCCGATCCCTTCCGGGCTCCCACCTATATCCTCTTTACCACGTGACCCTGACTCCTCCCCTCCCGTATCGTCAGATCCGGCCTTCCCATACTGCCCTGATGGCTCTACCTCCATTCACCTCGCTTCCAATTGGACCCGAGGTGAACGGCCCGCCCCCCCACACGCCCCCCATACTGGGCTCCGCCCCCAATACCCCGGGCCGTGTGATTGTGCCAGAGCCCAACAGCGAACCCCGTTTACGCTCGCATTACATGACCCCCCCCCTGATGTAAAAGACCAGCCGTCCCGGCTGAAACAGGATATAATGAGAGCGACGGCAACACATTCAGGAATCACAACCGACACAACGGAGAGCACAAAAACGACGAACACAACGAAAGGGAAGGGATTAGGATCCGGTACGGAACACCGGCCCGCCCTCCGTGCAACAAGCAAGAAAGAATTACGGAATGGAAGGCAATGCACAACAACGGTAACCGACACGCAAGAACGGCAGACGCGCATAAATCAGAAATGCGGTGTCTTAGAGTGTGTCCGTGTTGCTGGTCCATCCGCCTGGCTCAAGTCCAACTTCAGAGAACTGGTAGAGCAGGAGTGACGAACAGGCGCTCCACTTCCCCTTCAAGTCCACATCCGGTTAGCACAACCGGTGACACCCAGTGTGGCAGGCGCCGAAGATCGTGACGAGAAGGAGAACCCATCCCCCTGAGGCACAGCACCACGAAACGCACATCAGCTTGTCGTACACGACAGCCACCCGGCCCCAGGGTAGTGGAGATGATCGTAATCTGCCCGGCGTAAGGAGAAAACCAAATAAAATACACAAAAATCGATGCGTTGGATGCACAACCAACACCCCGAAGCGAACTGAAGTCACACGCTCCGCGGCTCGACGTGTATACTTAAAATGGCGGCGGCACGCACGAAGCGCCCCTCCGAGGTTTCCCGCGCGCGCTCAAAATGGCCGCCCCATGCGCCAAGCGCATCCCCGCGATTTCCCGTGCTAGCCAAAATGGCGGCCCAACGTGCGACCAATTCGGCAGTTTTTCCCGTGCATGCACCCCAGCGGCCCCTTGCTGGGGGTCACAACACACATCCCCTGTCACGTTTTAACAACCCCCAACGCCCCGCGCGCGCTCCTCCGTCAGCTCCTCCGCTCCCCCACTCCGCACACCGCTGGCCGACAGTGTGCCGAAACCCCATCAGCCACGTGGCTGATGGCGCAGCGGCCACCCAACGCGGTCCCGCTTCTTCACTCCAACAACTGACCCCGATCCCTTCCGGGCTCCCACCTATATCTTTACCACGTGACCCTGACTCCTCCCCTTCCGGATCGTCAGATTCGGCCTTCCCATACTGCCCTGCTGGCTCCACCTCCATTCACCTCGCTTCCAATTGGACCCGAGGTGAACGGCGCCCCCCCCCCCCACACGCCCCCCATACTGGGCTCCGCCCCCCAATACCCTGGGCCGTGTGATTGGGCCAGAGCCCAGCAGCAAACCCCGTTTACGCTCGCATTACAGGGGTAGTGATAGGGATTGGGGTGGTGATAGGGGTTGGGGTAGTGATAGGGGTTGGGGTAGTGATCGGGGTTGGGTAGTGATAGGGGTTGGGGTAGTGAGAGGGGTTGGGTTAGTGAGGGGTTGGACTCGTCCTGGTCGTAGCTGGGGGCGGGGGAAAGGTGGGCTAGGGAGTAGAGATGGGGGTTGTTTTAAGAGAGGAACAGAAGCTGGTTAGAGTGAAGAAGATGGGCTAATGTGCACTGAACGATCATAGCAAACACACTCCTGTGGAGGGAGCTGGTAGGAACGTTGGGTTGCTCGGTCAATGGCCAGGGTCAACGGTGGCGTGGTGTATTCCGCAAATATGCTCGACTGTGAGGGCGGGCACAAGCCGGCGTGAGTAGGTTCAACGTTGAGTTTTATAAGGGCACCACGGGGTGACCAGCCCCACCCCACCCAGCCCCACCCCCCACCCAGCCCCACCCTCCCCACCCAGCCCCTCCCCACACTCCCCGCCCAGCCCCTCCACACCCCACCCAGCCCCTCCCTCCCCACCCCTCCCCACCCAGCCCCTCCCTCCCCACCCAGCTCCTCCCTGCACGACGGACACAATAATCCCCTGTGTGCTGGTGTAACCAGGAGGTATAAATTACACTGGTCAACAAAAAAAATTCTAGCCTGGACTTTTCCAGCTAATTTCAGGGTGCTGATTCCAAATCTGATCTCAGATTTGCTCCATCACATCTCATTTTTATGCTATCGGCATACCCCATTTTCATTGATTTTACCCAAGTTGTTGCGAGTCAGTGACTGCAGGATAGTGTGTTTATAATATCATTTTATGTAGATATCCACATTTATTTAATATTTTTCTTCTGCAGTTTTTATTGAAAATGCTATATTTGATATCTCAAAAACCTGATGTAATAGACAAAAACTGATGCCAGATTTGGAATCAGCACCCCAAAATTACATTAAAATCATTGGAATACCTTATGCCAGAAAAAGTGTGTTGACCAGTGTTATCCTTCTGCTGCTGCTTTGACACCGTTTGGCGTCATAGCCTGCCACAGAAACTGGCCGCCCTAAATCATCAGGCGCGTCACGTGACCGAGGGCAGAGGATCAACACGTCGGGAGGAGCGCGTGGTGGGTGGAGGGATACGGGGGCGGGGAGAGAGAGGAGGGGGGGAGTCGAGGGAGACGGAGCGCGGGGAGAGAGCGCGTTCTGTAGGGAGCGTGCGCTCGCTGTCCAGGTGAGTGCCGCGTGGTTGTGAGTGTGGGCGAGTGTTGTAGCTGCAGAACGCTAATGAGTGGCAAGAGGAGGGGAGTGAGGAGGTGTTCAAATGTAAGGATGTTGCTGATGAGAGGCGAGTTAGCGGGTGAGTGAACGAGGTGAGGAGGAGGCAGTGAGCGTGCCATGTAAGTGAAGACGTCCGCGCCTCGTCACTAATTCATGGTCTCTGCATTAATGATGCGTGGGCTCGTTACCATGACCCCCCCCCCCCCCCGCGCGAGCCCCCCAGTCATGGGCTCCATGGAGATTACAGGGTGCAGGGTGAAGAGTGCAGGGTAGAGAGTCCAGGGTGGAGATTGCTGGGTGTAGGGTGGAAAGTGCAGGGTGGAGAGTGCAGGTTGGAAGGTGCAGGGCGTAGGGTGGAGAGTGCAGGGTGGAGGGTGGAGGGTGCAGGGTGGAGGGTGGAGGGTGGGGGGTGCAGGGTGGAGAGTGCAGGGTGGAGAGTGCAGGGTGGAGGGTGCAGGGTGGAGGGTGCAGGGTGGAGGGTGCAGGTTGGAAGGTGCAGGGCGGAGGGTGGAGAGTGCAGGGTGCAGTGTGCAGAGTGCAGGGTGGAGAGTGCAGAGTGCAAGGTGGGGGGTACAGGATGGAGAGTGCAGGGTGGAGGGTGTAGGGTGGGGGGTGCAGGGTGGAGAGTGCAGGGTGGAGGCTGGAGGGTGCAGGGTGGAGAGTGCAGGGTGGAGGGTGGAAAGTGCAGGGTGGAGAGTGGAGGGTGCAGGTTGGAAGGTGCAGGGCGGAGGGTGGAGAGTGCAGGGTGGAGGGTGCAGTGTGCAGAGTGCAGGGTGGAGAGTGCAGAGTGCAAGGTGGGGGGTACAGGATGGAGAGTGCAGGGTGTAGGGTGGAGGTGCAGGGTGGAGAGTGCAGGGTGGAGGGTGGAGGGTGCATGGTGGAGGGTGCAGGGTGGAGGGTGCAGGGTGGAGGGTGCAGGGTGGAGAGTGCAGGGTGGAGGGTGCAGGGTGGAGGGTGCAGGGTGGAGGGTGCAGGGTGGAGGGTGCAGTAAGTGATGGGCGTGCCTGTGGGGAGTGGTGGCGCAGCGGTTGGCGCATTGCGTTACGAACCCCGGTGACCCGAGTTCCTCTTCTGCTCACGGCCAACGTCGATGACGACCGTGTGACACGAGCACCTGGTGTGGTGTGCAAACATCAGCACTCGGGAGACAAAGGCGGCTAGGCGTGGTGTTGACCACACCGCTCCCTCATAGGGGCTCACTAACAGCACGTGGCCCAACAGTCGGGTAAGGGGCGTCGAGGGGATCTGTTGTGTGTGGCACTGGAAAAGTCAAGAGCCGGATACAGAGTGGGCCAGAGAGGAGAGGGGGAGGGCGTGAGAGAGGGTAGAGTGTGCACACTTCTTAAATGGGTGTGTGTATGTTTTGAGTGTCCCGGTTTGTGTGGACAGAGAGCGTTTGAGAGAGGAGGTAGAGAGAGACGGGAGAGAGAGCGTTTAGACTGTGCCACCTTATGGGGCTAAATCAGATTGTGCGTGCTGTCGTTTCTGATCTGAAAGCACGGCCCCTTGGTTAATCTTCCCGATATATGACCTCAGTCAAGACGTAAGGCTTTCTACTTAAGTACAAAAATGTCCTGGGTCGCGATTGATCCTCG